GAACCATACAGCATTGCTTAGTGGGGGTGATATAGTGAACGAAGTGTAGTGAACTATAAACTTTATGTTATCCTCTCCTAATTTCGATTTCCAGACTGTTTTAATATGAAGCTTATGTTATCGTTAATTGCGGTCCGCTGCTTTCCTAATTAAATGTGAGTTCATTTTACACGCTTTCTGGGTCGTTGATTCAATTTTTTCGTTTATTCATCTTCTATTTTCCACACTCACACTACTCTACATGCTACCCTAGTACACAAATTAACTTCTGGCTAGACGCGAACTGCTGAATAAGAGTTTGATTGATTGTTTTAATTCGGTGTGATTTTTGTTGAACATTATACTTTATTCGATTCAGTGCGATAGCTGCTCAACGTAATATTAAATTTTTTTCCACTGTGATATTTTGTGTAGAATCCCACTAATTTTATTCTTGTATGACACTTACTTAGCATTATATATTTTGTATTAACCTGATGTATTTTTTTTGTAATTCTATTTGCTTTCCTTACATGTGGTATTTATTAACTAATCATCAAGTTCGTGTAAAATCATTATGCTACTAAGTGAAAACTTCAGGGTAAAGCTAGCTTATTTTGAGTTCAACAACATATTCTTTTGTACCTGTCCTGATATTCGCATTTCTGTTTTGGGAATAGCAGCACCAACTTGCGATTTATTCCTAATTCACATTTAACAAGAAACTGTGTACATATTATGTATTATTATAGTCATGAAATGAATTATCAAAATAGTCAGTAAACTTCGACTTACTAATGTTGACAACACTACTCAGTAAACCAAACGAAACAAACTATTGATCGTCGTCTTTATTTTAAATTTATGATTATATTATTACTTTACATAAGAATAAAAGCCTGAAATTCAACTTTCCCAGTCAGCACTTTTAAAAGAGTTTGGTTTTGCATGGTTGAAACTTCATATCTGTATACAAAATCATTGGAAAGAAGACGGTTACATACTTTAAAATAAGATATAAAGTCTTTATCAAAGGTACTGTTATTAAACAAATATACTCTCAGACTGAAGAGAAAGAAACAAAGAATATCACGTAGACTTTAGCACAAATTTATAAACAAAAAAGTCGAGAAAATTATTTTGATAAGATTCTGCAACTTCTATATCCACATAAACGTCATAACCAATTGTACGAACTACTCAGTAGTATGAGAACAGCTTTTATCTTCGCTCATCAGTTTTTATAATAATGGAAATCGTAATAGGTTCATTACATTGGCGGCCTTCATGTATGAATACAAACCGGAGAAGATAATAAAAAACTTACTGAATGTAAGTGATCATCAATTATTTACTGAGATCCTTTAAATAAATCTGTAAATCAGAGTCTGCTCCACTTTCTTCACAAACGTTTTCGGGGAATAACAAGTACTGACAGATTGGAAAGTATGATACCTCATCAAGGTACTAAAGAAAACAGATATCGGTAAGTGTGAGGCCTACACAGGCATCACAATACTATCGGTGCCATGAAAGTTTTCAACAAAGTGTTGTTGAATCGGATGAAAGATTTAGTAGATGCCAATATCCGCAAAGATGGCTAATGCGCCGAGCAAATCGTTACACTACGGATCCTTACGGGTTAGTCGTTTGAGTGACACTCATCGCCATACACCGACTTCCATGACTATGAGAAGGCATATGACATGGTGGATGGGAGAACCTAATGGTTGTACGAACTTATGATTCTTTTGTACATGATTGCCCTCTGACTACGAATCGCAAACATATTACGTCGATTTGTGTTCATCTAGTTATACCTACTTTAAATTGTACTGTTTCGGGAATCCAAGATTGGAAAGAAAAAGAAGAAGACAACTATTAACGACAGTCGAGAAAAACGGAGAAGGCCAAGACATAAACTGAATACACAGAAGCAAACAAGGAATTAAATTGAAGCATTGGAGCCGATAAGCAGAAATATGTGTTAGCAACGACAGCGGAAAATGCTGCAAGAGAAGAAAATATGAAATAATTATATAATACATAGAAGTAACTGCAAAGATGCACCACGTTCTATTTAGGAGGAGAAACAAGTCCCGATAAACTGGAAGAAACGACACCTCATCAAGATACTAAAGAAAGAAGATTTAAGCAAATGTGAGAACTAACTACAGAGTCATCACACTATGTCAGTAACAGGGAAGGTTTTTACCAGGGTGTTTCTGAAATGGATGAAGGACTCGGTAGATGCCCAACTTCAAGATCAACGGACCAGATTCTGTAAGGATCGGTTGTGCACTGAGCACACAGCGACACTACGAATCATCGTCGAACAATCAGTTGAATGGAGCTCGTCACTATGCATCAACTTCCTTGACTATGAGAAGGCGTTTGAAATATTGGATAGGTAGACCTTATGCAACCTTCTTCCACACTAATGTACATGAGAAGATCGTCAGCATCATTCGGAATTCATACGACAGACTACACTGCAAAGTCGTGAATGGAGAACAGCTGACAGATGTATTCCAAGTGGGGAGCGGAGTCAGATAAGGCTTCTTACTCTCCCGCTGTATCTTTCTTCTAATCATTATTTGGGTCTTGACACCTGAGGGGAAGCACAGAATAAAAAGGATAGGATGTGTGCGGGTGGACGATTTAGACTTCGCAGATAACTTGGCCCTTTTATCCCACACACAAACGAATGCAGATGAAGACAGCTAGTGTAGCAGCAGCAGACTCTACATTATCAGGCTTCAACCCACACAATGGGGCAGGCAAGATCTTCAAATACAACACGGAGAACACCAACCCGATTATACTTGATGGAGAGACTCAGTAGGAAGTGGAATGTTTAACATAGTCGGTCAGCAAGATCATCGATCAACGAAGAGAATCCGATGCAAGAGTAAAATTAAGGATTGGCAAACTAAGGGCCACATTTTTACAGATGAAACACATACAGAATTCAAAACAACTGTCAACCAACATCCAGTCAGAATCTTCAACAAGAATGTCAAGACAGTTCTGATGAACGGAGCTGAAACATGGGGGACCACTATTACAAACAACATCAAAAAAGTGCTAGTATTTCTGAACAATTGTCTACTCAAAATACTCAATGTCCGTTTATCGGATACCATCAGTAACAAGCTACCATGAGGGAGAACAAACCAGCTTCCATTTGAAGAGGAAATTACGAAAATACGTTGGAAGTGAATAGGACACACATTGAGGAAATCACCAAACTATATCACGGGCAAGCATTAACTTGGAATATTGAAGGGAACAGGAAAAGAAGAAGGCTAAAGAACACACCACGTCGGGAATTTGAAGAAAATATCAAAAGAATGGATAGCAACTAGAAGCCAATGGAAAGGACAGTCCAAGACAGAGTTGGATGGAGAATGGTGGTGAGCGGCATATGCTTATCGATGACGGCTAACAGGAGTAAGTAAGTAAGTAAGTAATTAAGTAAGAACTATTGTAATGAACACTACTTATTTTATCGATTTTCGACATGCTCGTCTGTTTCAGACTCTGAATGTTGTTTGCTTACAATTTTGACATTAAACTTCGTGTTTTGCCTTTTCATCATTTTTTCTTTTTTTTGTATTTTGTACTTTAGGAATTTAAATACTTAGAGAGTGTTATGAAATCTGTTGCTATTTTTATCATTATTAAATAGAACAAAATCATGCTTGATTTGCGTTGAAATTCGGATATGAATGACGTCACTGATATTCAGAGTTTGTCAGCTGTTTTCGCTGTAACGCACTCATAATCAAAGGATACTAACTCAGTGACACAAGAGGTCAAGGATTAATGATTCTGAAGAGACATTTGGAAGGTTGTCGATTATCTGAGAAGTGTCCGACCAAAGAGTGGGGAACACGGTGTTTCTACTCGTGATCTGGTGCGAATCCGTGAACGAGCGCCTTCAGCTAGGAAGTATACGGTAAAACTAATCTGGTCAGCATTAATGTCGAGGACTTGCTGATCTATCTATTTTGGGGATTTATTCATCACTACGGTAGCACATGAAACATCTCTTTTTTAGGACTGCTCAGTGAGAAACACACTGATTTAATCAATCGAAATAGGAAATTTAAAACTATAATGTTCACATAAGATAGAGGAGTAGATAGTTGTGATAGTTGTGAAACTGTTTGACAGTGTTTTGCCAATGCTGGATTAATGTCATGCTGCAAATCAGTGCTTTCAAGTCATTTTAGATTTTTTAGTACAAGAAGAGAATATAGCTATTCATGTAATGCCGGGGCTGCTTGTTTAGCAATATGCAGTGTGTCTCGAAAAGCTGAACCTGTTTACTTCAACTTGCCATAGAGCTAGAGGTAACTAATTAACGATCCGTTGAATGCTCAGTTATGAGTTGTCACTTTGTTAATTCTCCCTTTTTCTTCTAACTATGTAGGGATAACTTAGAGAAGAGAGCAGTTTTGTTCAAACCCAAAGACGGAAAAAATTACTCTTAGTATATAGCTTTTCCAACCATGTAATCAACTCGTTGAACCCACAAATCAAAAATTTATCGCTCATAGCTACATATGAATTACTCAGGAACTGTCCAGACGAGCACAGAAGATCACTAGAAAATGAGTAAATCAAACCTTCGACTCTCCATCCTTGAAAAACAAAAGAAATCTGCAATCCAAAAGATTGAGAAATGTGAATTATCCCTCAGCAGAAAGGCGAAAGGTCAAATAAATAGTCGCTTCAACGTTGTTTTGTCACGGATGGTTTGTATATATTGGAGATTGGAAGTCATACTTTAAGTTCGTTCGTTAGTTGGGCGGTCTGTTTATGATCCCTTCTTATCGTGGTATTTTCTCTGTCCATAGCCTACCGTGTCATTTTGATATCCTATCGTTAACCTTCATTTTCTGCTGATGAAAATTCTGTGAGGATCATCAATTAGATTTACTTTATCTGACACGCTCATGAAGATTGACAGGAAAAAGACGGTTAATCGGTGTGGATATGATCAAAATGAGTGCATGTTACTTGCAAAACATCTATCAGTATGCCCAGATGAACAGCTGATTTCAGAGTTGAAGCGAATAAAGGTTTGGAATTACGGAAAGTGTGAACTTGGACTTTGGGCGGACGTTTTGGATCGATTAGATGCTATTTTGGAAAATGCTGTAACGAAAGTTGGAAAGTGGATGCTTCGTCTTGATGCACCGGGAAACTCTTCTCTTGTTGAGGATGTGGTGACTATTTTGGAGTTTACTGGTCACTTGATCGAGCATAGTATATACAGATACTTGTATGGATCCTGGACTCATATACTTGCTTTGTTTGGCTCTTCAAACCTTGATGTCTTGCTGGCTGTTCTCGGTCTATCGTACAACTTTAGGTAATGTGTGTTCAGCCAAATAATGTTCTCAGCAAACGGAGCAACTATTTTATTAGGTTAGACCCAACAAACAAACAGATGATTCTCGATCGTCTTGTATCAATCGCTGAAGTAAGTGGGTATTTCCAAATTAACAAATGACATTAGACTTGGGGTGGAGCAGAAAATGGATTTGGACTTGCAGCTTGTTGTGATCCAAATCATGTAAGCCTCTGTCATACATTATATTGTTGCTAGTTCCCAGAAACGGCTGGAAATGTCTATTTTGAATACAGATCAGAACAACCTTCTGGCCCTTCATCTGTTTCTCAGCACCCAAGTTCTAGCGAACATTTGGGGTCTTTAAATTCTGGCGGAACGATTGTGCTTCAAGCTCTCCACCGCAGAAATCAAATTCCGTCCGAAATAATGGAAGAGTTGCTAGCTGTGCATCCTGTACCTGCATCTCAACAGATGGCTTTGTTCTCCCGTGTTCGACTAGCAACTTACTTTGCTGACCCTACACAGCGTCATAAGTGCATACGTGCTAGACTTCAAGCACTATCCATTCTCTGTAAGTCACTTCATAAGCTGTTCGCCAGCATTCTCTGAATACTTTATTTTCTTGGTGAGACTTTAATCTATGGACGACTTTTTAGCGATGCCGAAGTGACCTTGAAAGTAAACAACTTCCAATTAGGACTAAATGAGGGTTACATAGCAGTTAGAATTCTCATTTACAGTTGATGGTTAGGGTTTAAAATTAGATTTAGGGTTTTCATCACGAACTGGCATAAGCTATAATGCCCAAACTCTATTTCGCCAAATGTATGAATGAATTCCGCGCCCAAATTCGTGACTCGTTATCTTATATCTGATTGGTTCGTCCATAAATTATAGTCTCGCCATTTTCTCATATGTAATCCTGGTTGTAGCAATTTCACCCAAAGTATTTCGTTTCGTCTTACGAGGGTATTATTTTATTAAGACTTTTATTAGTCGGTGGTCTGAAACTGGATTAGTGACAATTGTAAGCAGCAGTGTCCACATTATTTAGTTATTTAAATATTATCTAATTACCACCGCTTGTTTTCGTTACTCGTTTCTGCTCATGATCATTGTATATGGTTTTTGTCGGCTTTCACTTAAGTTGCTTATATAACGTTGGTGATTGCCAAATCAAATATTATTTGCTTGTTAAAAATATCGTTTTCGAAGTACATTTACGGCAGATGGTTACCATCATCCTTTCTCTAGTTTGTACTGTTTATCTCAGTTCATATTTTGATTGTTAAGGCCGCTCACTACGACAGTTACATTCGGGCTTTTGAGGTCAGAAAGATGCTGATAAGTTTTTGTCACTATCGAACTTTTATCACTGAATGCAAGGAAGTTAGTGGATTTAGTCAAGATACATCTTCAATATATGCATGCACATTACGACCGAGTAAAAATATAATTCTAAATCCTGTATCTATAGTTATCTCAGTCCATCCCTTCGTTCACAGTTTTAAGTGTGTCCTGATTTACAGCTTTTTCTTTGTAGAAGTCGTTGATCCAATTTTTCGTCTTGTTTAAAAGCTTTTTTCGTGGGTTACTTTCATGTTATTTATTTAAACACATAAAAATTGGTACAAGGAGGCGCCAAATAGATATGCGCCACATAAATCATTCGATTTATGTGAGGGCTGTGATACTGCCCGGGTGCCCGGACCGAAGCATGTAAATTTACACTAATTGGAATGAATCTGAAAGCTTTATAGCTTTAAGACTGTAAATATTATTTATGTTACAGTATATTGTTTTCGAGGTTTCGCAATGATGGCAATTTATCTATGCAACTTTATTTTTATAGCATATACATTCGAGGTTGATGAGCGTCATTTGTATCCTAGCTTGATAGACGAACTTGTGGAAGTACTTGGTTTGTCAGATGACCAGTATATGGGGATCAAGGCATGCGCTCTTCGAACAATGACTGCTATAGTGAATTCCCACAGATTGGGCATAAAGTAAGTAGTCAGTCTTTTAGACCATTTTGAGATAGTGGAGATTTGTAGGTCAGCTGGATGATATAGGTGGTTTTGTTCTCCGAGGTGGATGGTTTGTCGTGGAGCTTCCATCGTTGTTTTGAACGACATCATCAGCTGATCATGTCGTTCAGAGAACAAAACGCCACCTAAAACAGGTTATTTTGTTATTTGTCTGTTTATTTGAAGTCACTGAAAAGTGGCAAGAAACGAAGAATTAATCACTTTATTTTCGTTCTAGGCAGTCGTGTCATCTGGTTTGCTGTTTTAAAAAACGAGGAAATGAGCTAAGTTTACTGAACTGTAACGGAAAATACTTACTTATATGCCAGTTCCGTCAAGTTAAAGCACTTGACAATCAATATTACATTATTTTAAAGCACAAGCTCTGCACTAACCAGTGTATGAGACACTATTACTTATTGCGTTCCATATGGTTCTTCAGCATAAACGAATAGCGGACTTCAATACTATCAATCAAACATCCCAATCAGTATCAAGGTACGAAAGTTAATGGTAGGAATATTATACTGTACATGTTTGGTTTTAACATATGCGAAGCGGGTTTTGCACCGATAGATATTGCTAGGAAATTAATGTCACCTGGCAAGCAGTTCAGTACAGTCTGAAAAGTTAGTCTATATACTAACTTTCCCAGGAAAAAAACAACTAATAGATAAATTAATGAAGTAGACTTGAGAACGAAAAATAATATGCCAGTTACAAATGTGATATCTACACTTTTAAATTTAAGTTGATCTACACCATAAACGTAATCTAGAAATAACGTCTACCAAATATTTATTCTCTGAATTTCATTTCTAAAATAAATCACTGTGTTGCGTGTTTGCTCATTTGTAGCTGGGGGTCGTTGGTTGGATCTACTGGATTGTCCAGTTACCATGGTATTTTACCTAATTTGACCAGAAAATGGATCCATGGTCTTGTAGATGGTTCTATAAAAGCTCCTGCTGGGAGCACAAATCAGCATTTCACAACAGCTCTATTGTCCTTCTTGTATCATCTAGCTTGTTATGAAGAAAACGTTGGTCCAGGTAAATGCTTTCACATTGCTTGTTAATAGTTGAGATTTAGGAAATACACAAAACACAACTCTTAGCTCTAGTGGTGTTTTGGACACAATGACGCAGCTTATTTCTTGGCACACACCACACAACGATTATTTGAGTTATGTCACACGTGCTGTTCGTGTGACTGATCAAATCCTGTTGAGTATTTCTTCAAGTCGTCAACATGTAGTAAGTATTTTGGTCGATCGATTAAATTATGAAGTTGAAGTTGTTCTTCAGAGTTCTACATCAAGTAATGTAAGTCACTGTTTTAGACAAAGGTTTTTTAAATATTCTATCCATTTATAATATCTAGGTATGCTACTTCCCTCCAATGCTTGAGGGGAAAAACGTAGAAGAGTATTAAGCATAAATAATGTCATAGCTTTTTGTGTTCTATACAGAATTCTGGATAAATTACTATGAGATCCAGTCAGTCATATCCAACGTGGAATACGGAACACATGTACATCGGTTCAAGTTGCCACACCTCATTAGCACAGAATTATCAAGTTGTTAGGGCAAATCCCAGAGCATAGCGTTACTCAGGTTACCATAACTTAATCGACTGAGGGCGAATAAATAAGGATAGGGTTGATTAGCGTGTGATTATATTTTTCCACACCGGTAGGATGTGGCACAATCAACTCTAATTTCTCTCAGTTTGCCACCAAACATTCTATCTACCAACTCTCGTTAATACCCTAATGATAATTCCTTGTTCTCAAGGATTTGATCATATATTGAAATTGTGCCGCTGCCATATTTATATGAACCAGCCGTCTGGTTACATTAAAACATGAAACTAATATATCTAACTGCCGTAAAGTTAGTCACGTAAAATCTCATTTAATATCAGCATATATACTAAGAAAAGATGACGAGTCGGACGTTAATGTTGTGCATCTTTATCGGATAAAAAGCCCAGGGCATGTATTACTCATGGTCAACCATCACTTCGCCGTGCAATGTTGGCTGGTCTGAAAGTAAGCTGGAAGAAAACTATTGGCAGCCAAATCAAGACCATCAGCCTACGAAGCTATTAACTGTTAACTTGAGCTGTGTTGTTATATACAGATGCCTGGTTGAGATTCACCTTACTGACCAATGGGGAGAGATGTTAGACAACGTGGCTCAAAGTCAATCATAGTGGCGCAAATGCATCTACATTTTATCTTTCACTAAATCTTGAGTTCCAATATTCATTCATGTCCGCCTTTCCACCTCATCTTCTAGAACCACGATAACAAACTTTTTCAGCTTCAGAGCATAACTTTAATTTGAGAAGTGTTATAACTTCGTCTTACAGAATAGGCTGACCCTTACATTTAGTCATGACGTTCTTTGTTTTATTCATGTATAATTACCCTAAATAGGGCATCGCATTAGTTCTGATTGCTAATAAAGTGAATACATCTAAGTTGTTCATTGTATTGTTACATTCTTGTTTCTTTTATATTTATTTTGTCCTTTCGTTTATTTTCTATTGATTGGAATTTGTCCGAAAGAAATCAAGCGTTTCCGATTGTGAACAGACTTTGAATACACAGCGCTCTGGTCTTATGAAGTCTATACTTAATTTACTGAAGCGACTTTGTTTGGACGCGGAATGGGGCGACATAGTTCACTCTGTAATGGATGGTAACCTACCTTCGGTCCTGCGTCAAATTTTCCTCAATGGTTCCACCCATTTCACTCCACATTTGTCACTTTTCGCTATGGAAACTATTACCAACTACCTGTATACATATCCATCTAGAATTTCAACTATGCAGGTACATAAACTTATTTGTATGATTTTCAAGTTATGTAAACTTTGTACACACACTCGTTTTCTACAAATCATCGCTCGGGATCTAAGCTACCTACTAATATACTATGTACTTTTCATCAACAAAATGTGCAGGGTCGGTAATCTGAACATGTTTTACCCATGTTGTTCCTGCGACTATCGTTGCGTATATAATTCATCTATTTTTCTCAAGTGGGTGGTAAAAGCAAAGAAGTGATCAGTTTATGACATGGCACATCAAAATGAAAGATATTTAAATGAGGTTCCAAGGATCTTAAAAATTAGCGATGTTTGTTTTGACTCAGAATAAATACTAGTGGATCCCGTTGTAAGATACGCTTATGAGCTGGACAATACGAACACGTATACGTCCACGACCCTGCCGGGGATCAAAACCGGGGCCTTCGATTCCAAAAGGGAGCACTTAACCTCTAAGCCAGTGACTTAGAATCCAGCGGCACACTAGTCTAGCTTCAAGCAATTTGTGATAGCGCAAAACCGTCTTCTGTCCAATTTTGCTTACCTGTGGCTGGTCTATTTAATATAATCTCTATCTGCTGAACTAATATCGTATTTGTCTCTTGAACATTTTATGTAAAAATAAATGTAACTATACGTGGTTTAGTCTCAGAAAAAAAACGAAGTTACCCGGAATCATTTATAGTGGGATTCAGAAAATAAACATTTACGTTGTCATTAGTTCTTTTCTATCTGTGTTACTTAGCATTCAACTGTTATCAACTTCTTTGGTCTTTCTATCTTGTTAGTTCCCTCTGTTAATACAAAGTATGTAGGCTTGGAGTTTTGGATTGTTTAATATTTGTATGAATGCCTAAACATTTTAATCTGTCAATCAAAAAGGAATTATTTTACATTGTACACATTCATATATTTATTGTGTTGATGACTTACCATCTCCTAGCTATAAAATGTGTACTGTAGTTCTTTTTTTAATTTATGAGTTCCATATCATATATAAAACTGGGTTAGAATTGTTCAGACATTGAGACATTTTCTATGTTTGGAAAGAAATCTTTAATGATTTTACACAAAAACTTCTTAGATCAGTCAGTGCTAGGTTTTTGTAGTTTTCTCACCTGATCCTATTTCTTTTCACTCTCTTATACTACACAGTTAGTGTTACATGGTTGACCATTATGTATGATACCCAAGATTATCGTGTTTCGTTAGAAAATTCTAGCTATAAGAAATCCCACGCCTCACTCCTCCAATTATTCCTATCGCCGGCGATAAGTCTTTAAAAGTTTTATTCTAAAATATTAAAGACCACTCACTGGAAGGTTTTGTTTAGATGACCTCGAGTAGTTATTCCTAGGACAGTTCGGTCACTCTCAGCTCGTTAACAACACCCCTAATTCAGTTTTCTTTTCTGTCATTTCGATAAGCAGCATTTTTACTCGATGTAAGGGACAGGAAAGTGACAACCATCCTCATGTCCTTAACATCACTGGAGTATCAGTCTGAGATTTTTTAATATATATCGAAAAATTAGTTCGAAATCGGTTCAACTCATCTGATGGGACTAACCCTGCCTTACATCTTCTGGTTAATAAATTTTGAGATTTAAAAAGGTGACTGTTAGAATAAACAGAATTATTGTCAAAGTTGTTGGCTAACATCAAAGGTAATCATGTTCATCAATGCAGACATGTACTACGTTCGTTGCTCTTGGTAATGTATAACATTATGTCTAGTATTGTGTGTGTTTATTACATATTTTTCTGTTATAGTATATTCTAAATCCATTTGTTTTTCATCTATAAGCTGTTAAATTTGTTTATTGTTTCCTATACAGGATAAGAATATTACAAGTGATATTTTAAAAGCCTTAACTGAACAACCATTACCTCAAAATCGAGATTTTCTTGTACAGCTGCCAGCATTATTGAGTACTTTAGCTTTGAATTCTCGTGGTATTGAGGCTATTTTATCAAGTGGTGTGATTAATCGTTACTTAAATACATTAGTTTCACCAGATTATCTTACAACAATGAAAACTAAACGTGTCCGTGAATTTATATCACAGATACCGTACGATATGAATTGTAATTCCGGTCAAAATTTATCTAATAGTTTAACAGCGAGTCAAATGAGTAATGCCATACAAGAACTACTCCGATCACATACTGAACTAAAACCTGTTGTCTTTAAATGTGTTATTTCTGTAAGTTATAATAAAAATAATTAGTTTTAGTTGTAATATGTAATATATTGCTAGCTAATAAATTTATTTTTAGATATTGCCATTATATTTTATAACTTTACGATCTCACTCCTTCTAACTTAATGCTCTTGAAAAAAAAGAACTGTCTTGGTGTAATACTACTTTATAGTTTGAATTGAATTATTTATGATCTCATTAAATATAGATGAAGTTAGAATAGAATCGTTTACAAATTTCAATACTGTTTTACATTTGTTAATTTTAATCATTGTGTCTGTAGGTAATCATAGTTAATGATTTTAATACGCAATATTCATATTAGTCATTGGATTCTGTCTTATTCTTGAGAACTTGAAAGAAAACTAGATTAGTGATGGCTTCAAGTTTAATAGGTCAGATTTCTCATGATGACTTCAATACTAATGTGGAAAGCATTACTATTATCATTTTCTTGGTAAGATAATCTGTAACAAGTTTTGTAATTTCGACTGCATAAATTTCTTCACATAATTGTCCGCTTATTTTGACTTATGGAGTTGTTTCACACATGGGAATGTAATTGTCTTCCATTGATTTCAGCTCACAAATAATGCCCAAACACTATCTGTGTCATAAGTTGGAATGTAAATTTGGCTTCAGATATCTCCTAATAGGATGAGACATTTATTTATTCAATGTTTCCTGGTTTATATTGGTCGTATAGTTAAGATCATTTAGTAATTTAAACTGTAAGAATATCCCTTATCCTATAATGTTTATCTTCCTGGCATTGTCACTTGGTTGTTTAGACTGTGCTAGAGAAATTTATTAACAGATATTGTTAGTAAAAATTGTTATACTTCTTGTTTTTCTCTCAGTGTCTGCGTCATGTTGTAGGTCTTGGAAAAACACCAGCAACATTACCATCTGAAAGTGTGTCTTGTAATCCAGCAGTTTTCAATATCTTATCAAGGTCTACCAGGAATCCTAATAATTTCGGCTTACGTAGTTTTGCAGAAGTTGCCAGTGAACCACCGATCCATCAGACACAAGATTCTTCAGGTAGTATCAGTCAATCCATTACAAGTGCTCCTTTAGGTCTGAATAATATCCAAAATGCTATTGGTGCAACTGAAGATGATGTAGTGATGTCTGGAGGCGAAGATGAAGATGATGATTATAACAGTGACATTGATGTAAATCAAGATAGCCAACAAGCACATAATCATGCTGAAACTGTACAGGCTGGTACCATTGTATCCGGACCATCAATTTCCATGGCTAGTTTGGAATCTTCTCTTGAGTGTGAAAAGGTTCCAGTTACAAATGATGCTAATACAGCTCGTACTGAAGCTAGCTCTGTAACTCCTAGTGTGTTTCTGCCTGACTTCATGTTGAATATGGTAAGTTGATTCTTTTCTTTTGATGATGATTATATATCAGTCCTTATAATATTGATAAGTCTATAATATATTTTAACAGATTACTTGAAGGTATATTTCGAATCATTTAAAACTTCTCGAAAACCAACTATTTCAATTTTAATTCCCGCTTCGTAAATCCATGTTGATGAAAGTTTTGTGAAATTTTAAACAATCCTTTGGTAATTTTAGTGACGAATTCCTATTTTAAATAGACTAAGAATCTAAAAGCGAAAATATATACCAATATCGTAGCAAATACATGAAAGCTTATTTATATGTCATACTCACTTTTAAAAAGTTTGTGGTAACCCCAGGTGGGTTATTTTACCAAAGATTTTACTGTAATAAAAATTAAAAGTATAAGTTCTCCTTGATCCTCTGTTGGTGTCCTTGAGGCGTATCTGAATTTACTCATATGTATATATACACTGGAATGTCATTTGTTATTCTACAACTTCGGGAAGGCTAAATTAAATTTAGTCTTAATATTTCCTTGCCTACCTTAATACAAGTATTACCTGTCTCAATTATATATCATACTGTTCTCTGTAATGGCGCATTCTGGTATAACAATCCAATATAAAAGCAAATCGCATAACCTTATGGGCTAAGCAAATTAACTGTTCACATACCATCACATCCTGAAACGCTTAATAATCAAACATTTTATCAAGTTGGAAGAAAAAACCTCAACCAACACTCAAATATATGTGCAGCTAAATATAACCCTTTACTGTGGGAGAGAATAAACCAGATCCCAGTAGAGGGAAAAATCAGGAGGAAGCGCTGGAAGTGGATAGGACACATATTGAGGAAAGCACCGAACTGCGTCACAAGACAAGCCCTCACATGGAATCCTCAAGGCCAAAGGAAAAGAGGAAGACAAAAGAACACATTACGCCGGGAAATGGAGATAGACATGAGAAAATGAACAAGAATTGAATGGAACTAGAAAAGAAGGCTCAGGACAGAGTGGGTTGGAGAATGCTGGTCGGTGGCCTATGCTCCATTAGGAGTAACAGGCGTAAGTAAGTAAATATAACCCTTGTTAATCTAGAGGCGAGTCCTTAACCTACTCAGCATTAAGGGTTTGTCTTGCAGGTGAAGTGCTAACGGAACTGAGCATCCATTTTCACTAAATCATCGTTAGTTTCCTAGTTGTTTAATGTAGACAATAATGTTACAATGTGAAATTGGTTTTTTTTCAATGACTAAGTTTTGAAATTTATTGGTAAATATCACTGGTAAGCGCGTCTAAATTCTCATATTTCCTATCATTTCACTGATCAAATATTGTTAACCCAACTGGTTTGTCAACTGAATTGTCACTTATATATATAGTTTTTAAAAACTTGTCGTTTTCCACTATGAGTAACTCAATCTTCACCTTTTATTATCATTTTGTTTCTAGTGTAAATTTCTTGAGAAACTTTTACCATTCGGATCTCATACTACTGAAGCAATGTGCCCACAATTTGTTAGTCAAGGTGGACTACAAGCTTTATGTGATTTAATTCGTATGCCTGGTTTACCGTATGATTTTCCAGTGTCTGCTACATGTGCATCATTGTGTAAAATTTTCGAAGACTTAGCGAATTCGGTTAATTTAACCGATGTAACTAAACCCTTGTTTCAGGTAAGACATTTATATATAGTTACTCTTTTGTTATTACCATCCCATTTGTTATTGTCAACCCATTTACTAGGCACATATTCGTACGCTTAGTTTATAATCACAATTTCTGTGTATAAGACCCAATCTGTTAACCAAAACTGAAGTAGATAAATCTTATCGATTGGCTATCGAATACCTTAATCACTGAGGTCATCGCTCCTATCATATTGCAAAAAACTGTTTTGATGTGATTTTATAAATTTGATCAATCTTAACTGATATAATTAAACTTTTTTTTCTTTTATTTTGGTAAAATGTTTTTTTTCTCTCTCTTCAATTATTCTAGTTTTATTGCCACGCTTCTTATTTTAATCCAGTTTACATTTATTTAGTTGTTTAATTACTATGATTGATTATATAGTATCTGTTTTTTCTTTTTCTTTTTGCATAACCAAAATATTTTTTTATTTTAATGAAGAAATAAATTAAGTACAGTATATAATATGAAAGCAAATCACATGTTAATTTATCTATACTCAATTGGAATTATTGAATTGTACTTAGTAATAATTCTAGTCGTAATCTTCATGCCTCATATACAATATATATATATATATATATATATATATATATATATATGATGAACTGCCTATAATTATGGAAAATACTATTCTTGCTTCAGTTAACAATCAAACGATTCACATTATTATTATTTACTACGTCATTTATTCACTCTCTTTTATTCCCACTCTGTTTATCCTTATTTTTCGACTTATACAGCAGCTCGCCTATGGTGGAAATTCGGCTCTATCTAAACGTTCTCGAGTAGAGATGTTATCAGATATGGCTCAGAATAGAAGCCAGTGGCGATCCTGCTGTAACCTTTTACTTTTTTCATAAAAAGGGATTGCTTTTTCCTTAACTGAAAGATCTCTTCTGATTGTACGTTTCTGTTTCCCCCATTATTATTATTATTATTATTATTATTGTTATTATTACTATCATTATCATTATTATTACACTACCTTACACTAGTCTGTTCGTTATCGTTCTTTTTTTACGCTCCTTACCTTTTTTCCTTCTCTTCAAATCCTCGTTGTTTTGTGTGGCGCATATATATTTTGTGCCCTCTTGTACCAATATTTATGTGTTCAAATATAAACGTGACTTTCCAGTCATTGTCCATATTCATTTACTGTAGTATTTTATGTGTAACTGTTTGAGGCAGAATAGATTTCTACAATTTAACTCATTCATCATGTGCTTAGCAATGAATCACACTTTTAAGTATAAGGGGTAATAATATTAAACGGTTACTCAAATCGAACTAGGTGGAGAGGAGTTCGAACTATGACGTTGGTAAATGAACTACTATATCACTAGTGCCATGAGTATTGCAATCTTTTTTTACAATGTACAAAAATTTGAACAGTTAGCTAGAATGTTTAATTATTAAACTTTTCATAAACGATTAATCGATATAATGATGTGTGAAGACGCTGACAAAATGCAGAGTCTTCTGGTAGCACTAAGCAACAATGCCAGAATGTTTGGAATGCGCTTCTCTCCCTCGAAATGCAAGTTGTTGCTTCAGCACTGGTCTGCGTCAACACCTGAACTAAGGATAGGGAGTGAAGTAGTCGAACGCGTTGACAACTTCATTTATCTTGGAAGTCTGATCAGCCCTAATGGGTTGGTGTCTGACGAAATCTCAGCACGGATTCGAAAAGCTCGTTTGGCTTTTGCCAACTTACGTCACCTTTGGCGGAGGCGAGATATCCGTCTATCAATAAAAGGACGAGTATACTGCGCGGCAGTTCGTTCTGTTTTAATTTACGGCAGCGAAACATGGCCCTTAAGAGTAGAAGACACTCGTAAGCTACTAGTATTTGACCGCAGATGCCTTAGAAATATTGCTGGCGTCTGCTGGGATCACCGGATAAGTAATAGTGAGGTTAGACGCAGGGTATTAGACAATGATGGTAAATCAGTTGATGAGGTTGCGAATCTTCATCGACTGAGGTGGTTGGGCCACGTATTACGTATGCCTGAACACCGATTACCACGACGTGCAATGCTATCCGGTATTGGAGATGGTTGGAAGAAAGTTAGGGGCGGCCAAACCAAAATGTGGCATCAGTGCTTGAAGACACTAACTTCTAGTCTGAGCCATGTTGGTAGATGCAGACTACTTGGTTGGGGTCCGCGTGACTATCGTAACCAATGGTTGGAGACTCTTGGTGACATGGCTCAGAATCGATCACAATGGCGTCGGTGTATACACTCCCTGTCTTCCCTTAAACTAAGAGATTAAAATCACTTCATATCTTTCTTTCTACGAACCAATTCTTTCTTCTTGTACTATATCTCTATATGCAATCTTCCTCTTATTTATTACCACCTTTGACCTAACCACTGCTATGAATCCGGTGTTCATTTTGTTGTGCTGATGCGGTATGGCAACCTGGACCGATGCACATATGTGCCTGGTCTTACGTTGTAGCTGACTGACTGACTGACTGATAATGATGTGTTAAAGCAAACAGAAACAGATAATTTGTTGAAACATCTAGATGACAGGAACAGGTAGCCTAGATATTCAGGCACCTTTATTGTTATTACTTTTGATAATTTGTTGCTGACTACTTGGCCATACTTTCAGTCATTTAGTATGTCTGGCTTGTAACTAAATACATAAACGTTTAAGGTTAGTTAACTATAGATGAAAATTAAGTGGTAGCGTAGATACTACTTATCTGCTATAGATGTTCTTTTGCATTTTCGTACTAATACAATGTAATTAATTCACAAGTTTTTAGAAACATGATAATTATTGTAATTGTAACAGACAAGATTGTAAGGATAAAAATATTATATTTGCTACTTTAATATGATATTTGCGTCATCTTTCTATTTTCTATCCATAAAGAATAATTTCGTTGTATTATTTTAATATTTGTTCAAATTATTGAGTTGTTTTGTAAATCATCGAAATAGAAAATAAGGTGAACATATTATATTTTGCGAATCTCTCTTTTCCTTACTTTACTTACACCTGTTACTCCTAATGGAACATAAGCCGCAGATCAGCATTCTCCAACCCACTCTATCCTGGACCTTCTTTTCTAGTTCCATCCAATTCTTGTTCATTTTTCTCATGTCTATCTCCATTTCCCGGCGTAATGTGTTCTTTGGTCTTCCTCTTTTCCTTTGGCCTTGAGGATTCCATGTGAGGGCTTGTCTTGTGACGCAGTTCGGTGCTTTTCTCAATGTGTGTCCTATGCTATCTCCCTTTTCAACTACTTCATAATAAATGTACTGTACTTGATCAGTTTTGAATATTCTTCTATTTGTTAGTAGTCGCTTGAAATAGGAATAGGATAAATGTAAATGTGTTTAATGTATAATTGGCATTTTATCCACCGTGTAATTTAAAGGTTTTATAGGTATCATTACCAAGATTTGATTTGATAATTTTGAATAAATCGAGCATTGGGTAGATTGTTATAAGTAACTAATATATTTGTAATATCCCAATGAATAGAAAGGTTTTATGTTTAATTTCCGTTTGAGCCTTGTTTGTACATCGCTGAAAAGTCTAAAATTAGACTGAAATATTGCTTCAATAATTCGTGTTTTTCGGTAATCTTATAACTCATAGCAATATGTGATCTAACCCAAATTATACAAATAACTATTAAAAACTCCCAATGTATAAACACTATTTTGACAACTGGTTTCGTTGTTGAATCAAACAAGACGGGTAACTTTTCTCATGATTTTATCAATAATAATCATATTGCTATATTTTCTTGCACATCATTCCACTGGTTATTTTTAAGCAAAGCTTGTTATTTCGAGCTAACAATTACCTATAACTTCTAAAAAATGTATAAAAGGTTAATATCGTTGTCAATATAATCGTCATCTTGCTAAATATATTTTTTTTCATCTAGTGCTTGGAATCTTCATTGGATAGACTATCTGTTTTACACACTTCTAACTATCCAATGAGTTCCATACTCTTACGTGAATATTTGTCTGGTGAACGAGAAGTATTGCATGAATTGGTGACAATCGCTTCAGTAGTTTGTATTTTAGTACAAATGATTGAGCATATTAAATCAGAAATTCGTATGTCATTGGCCAGTAGTTGGTTATCTCAGAACTGTTTGAAAACATTGGGGTAAGTTAAAAGAAGTTTTTAAAAACTACTTCATCGAAATTGATGTGTTGTTTCATTTAAAAATTTACCAATTAGGATGAATTTTTTCGCTAATGACACTTAGTTTTCCAACTAACCTGGATTTTTTTTTGTTTTAGTTTTGTCTCTGAGCTCGGTAGTTTAGTCGTATTTTAAACCTAACTTTCTTCAGTTAACAAGTCTTCACTTTGAATTGTAACCTCACATTTCAGATTTACATTTTACATTTATGTCTACAATGTTGATACAAGTTTCCCTTGTTCACTTAATGTTAGTTCATATATCAACTCATTTTCAGTCGTCAACTTATATCTTGGCACAATTTTTATTTGGTACTCATACCCCCCCCACCATATTAGATCAGCGAGTGGCCATTAACCAAATAAAAATAAGGCGGTTGAAATAACTATCAGTTTCAGTTAAAAGTTAAACATACAGTTTGAAAAATCAAAGTCAAAAATGTAAATTTCTGTTAAAACCCATGTGGTGTAAGGTTATGCATGAATGCATCAGGAAAACTATAACCCATTTTAAATGTCACTTTAAATTTCCTACTATTGATTATTTTGCCCTATAAAGTATCAACTGAATGCTTGGAGATTTAGACATGACTTAAATTAGCAGTCAATTGACTAATATTATGTTCTCTGCACCCAGCCAAAATATTCCTATTCCTTGGCATCATAACGTATTATGGTAATTAGTAGCTTTACATTCTCAATACTGTCAACCTCATCAATCATTTTAAGCTTCATCACATCCCATAATGAGTCCAATGACCTATCATTCTTGAAGGGATAGGAGAAGAAACTAAAAGCTATCCACTCATTGATTAAATCTATTTGTTAATTTAGATTTGTTTATATGGTGTTTTACAGTGATATATGTTGAGAATCGTAGGTACTAAATTTATCTCATTAAATAGATTTCTGTTTCTCATCTTTATAGGCGTTTATATTTAGGAGTTTCTTGGGAAGCTGGAATCCTCCTAAAAGTTCTTTTTGGCGACAAAGACATAAATGAATCTGATATGTTGAATGGATTAAAAATACCTCAACATTTACTTAGTAGTTCTTCTAAATCATCCGATTCAAATTCTACTGTTCCAAATAGAGTTATAAACATTCCATCAGAACCAATGCCACAATTTGTAGAGGCTCTGCACATGTATTCTCTTATTACACAGTCCATTTCCCCTACTACCGATGGTCAATCTGCTTTCATATCTAAACATCCAGGTTTGCTATTATTATTATTATTATTGTTATTATTATTATTATTATTATTACCACATTTTAATGTTATGCTGCTGAGGTGTTAAATAAGTAACTTATATTCCACGAGTTTGATTATTATACAATCTTGGAATAGCATCGTTTTTAAATATTCAGAAAATGGTTCTATGATAATTATCTATTTATATTTCAGAACTTGTCAAACCGTTGAATCGAATACTGCATGTAACGGCATTTCTTATTAATTCTGTCACAGAATTATTTATTGCTCTTGGGAGATTTTTCTCAAATCGCACACAAATTAATTATAGACGTCGTCGAACCACATTATTTCCTAATGAATTAATTCCAAATGAAATGAAATCACGTGCACTGGCTCAAGTTGTAGATGTACTTTCCATCATGTATACATGGGAACCAGCTTCCACTAATCGTAATCACAAAGCAACTGCATCTTTAAACTATGCTATTCGTTATGCGTCAGTTCGACTAACTAACCTTCTACTTCATGATTCAGTTCAAAGGAATTCAGATCTAGGAATGATTAATGCATTCTTCAGGCTAAATGGAATAACTCTTTATTTTGGGTAAGTACATATGTTATTTGAATATTGATTTATTTTGAATTAAAAAAAATTAATCTCACCATAATGAGTGTCGGTCTCTGATAATGCTTACCCTCAGAGTCATAGACTTATAATCAAAGCTCCGTTATAGTCTACACGAATATGACTAAGTGTCTGTATATAAAAAAACAGTGCTTTCGAAAAAAGGAAGCGTTTAGATTATTCAACTGTTCCGTATACAGAAAGGTGGCGAGACTATAATTAGTGGACGAGTCAATCACAAGCGATTGAACGATTTAAACGTCACGTCGACTATTTCAGTATCCAATACACATGTACAACCGGTTTACGGTGGATTTCAAAGAAGTTATAGTTGAGCAGCTACAATAGATGGGATTAATAAGAAGCTCCAATATCTGTAATTGCGGTGTTCCCATGACTCCTGAACAGTGTGAAGACTATCGCCACAATGTTGTATTTCGATTTGGTGTATGGTTAAGGAAAAAATCTGTAAGAAAAGGACTTTTTTACTCGAGTTTAACACATTTCTCATTCATAAATATTCCCCACACATAATGAAATTTATTTCCATTCAACTCCAATCTTTAAAAAAAGCCACTACCCAATATAAACTTTGTTACGGGACAGAAAATTCTCACTAATATAATAAAGAATAATAAGCACATGTGAATTAAAATAAACGAGATCAAATAATTAAGAAGTCAGTTATAACGTAATAAAACGTTATCCAGCGTTTGCCATTTATTTTTAAAACATATTTTTCAAAGATTTAATGCCCTTTATTACATAGTCTAATTTGTAACTTTAATTAAAGCACTTCTTTTTTTGTGTACACATTACAGGTTATTTCGTCAGCTGATCAGTTTTGATCTAGATGATCCAACTATACGAAGTACGTTGAGTTTTGTAAAAAAAAACAACAGGATAATGATTTCATTAAAATCTTAATTACTTCACTACATATTTTCACCTTGTTCATTTATTCATGTTTAATTGAATTTCGAACACAAATCAAAAAGGATTTTCTATTCATTGACCATGGTTTTACAGTCGATGAATTTATTCCAAATATCGAAGTATCATTTTTCTACGTAGAAATAAAATGTTTGCCACCTACCGCAGTGATTTGTTGAAGCGATAACTCAGTGGTTAAAGCATTCAACTTTCAACCACCTGTTCGCTCGTCCGAACCTCACTTTAACTACTATGAGGTTTGGGAAACCGCATAGTATTACTAGACTTCACACACTTATATTGTAGCTCAAAACTAAATACACTAATCTGTATCTGGGAAATTAGTTGAATAACAATGATGTATTCTAGGAATATTGATGAATCTAACTGAAAGAAGGATATCGTATAGAAATGGACGGTTTATGGTATTCAAGTGTTTCATGATCGTACATACAGTAATTGAAAGTCAATGGGTAATTAGTTGAACAATAAACAACCTACTCTGTTAAACTACAGCATCAACCAATTATGTGTCGGTATTACATTTACCAATTGGTAATATTATATCAGTGGTGAGGATTAACACGTTATTTATACCTTATATTTAGTAACAAATTTATGCACTACATCACATGTTTCTATATGTTTCATACTCAGCAATAATTTTAATTATGTTCTATTGAACTTTAGAACCGTTATCAATTGTATTAGAAGAGTGGCTTGTATGTGCAGATCGTATGAGCAATGCAAGTTTTTGTGCTCCACCTAATTCAGATACTAATCGAACAACTGACACTGAAGCAAATACAATGAACGTGAAGAAGATAACTGCACGTGTTCATCAATGTATGATACCTGCACTGGCACAATTATGTTCTCGAACAGATTTGCAGGTAGTGTCGTATTCATGTAATTGTTTTTATTGTTTAGAATATGATTCTAATGAAACAATCTGTTTGTTATCATAGAATGAATTTATTTTAAAATAAACAGTAATCAGCTGTGTTTCTTCGTGTACACTCATGAATACTGTCCTATTACTGTGTAGCTGACAGAAACCCACTACTAGCAATTTTCTTTCTCACACAAATTGCGACTTTTCAGTGATGTTAAAAATTACATTTCCAAAAGTATCTGTTCATCATTTACAGGCTTGCACCTTTGTCATATTGGTTAACTTGTCAGATAAAAATATTCTGATCCAGTTTTTCGGAATTAGACGTTAGGTTGGCGTGGATCCTCAGTATGAGACTAATCCGAGAATACAGTTTCGTCGTTCTGTTACCAGTCGACACTTGTGTACGATTCCATATTGCAACAGTTCCTTAATTATCTTTTAAATAAATATTTGTGCTAATCTTTAGTAGATTCCTTCCGGGATTTTGTTTCGCTTGCTTTGGATACAATCCAACTCACTAATCAAAACTATTGAATTAGTCGTTCCGGAACTGTTGTCTTATTAGACAGCTATGATACTGGTCTGTACTGAAGTTTGTAACGTTGTAGTTATTGATGTCACCGTTCCGTTAACTTTTCGTTCTACGTTGTTTTGTATATTATTTCAGTTAATAAAATTCTGCATTGTATAATTTGCGGTATTGTTATAAAGAATATAGAACTTATTTTCTACCATATTTATACCTACTTATTTCAGTTATGCCTTCAGACCCAAATTCATTGATATGTAGCTTCCAATTGTTTATCTTATCGTTTACTTAAACTATAATTCTATTGTTGTTAGGATTTGCTCAGTCGTAAAGCTGTTGAACATTTACTCAGTATGCTGGTCACCATTGTGCCATACATTTTCAATCCTGACAATAAACAACGTTTAATCAAGTCTGACGAGTCCACCAATGCTATTCATTCATCAGGTGTAAGTATGCATATTCATGTCGATTTTTCTTAGTCTTTCATTCATAGGAATTATTTGTTGTGTTTTATATCTGTTCTTTAAAATTTTATATATTTGTTAAACTATCGAAAGTTGTGCTTAGTCATGTACACTTGTTTTTCAATGACATTTTATTTAGAAGATACACTACGGTATAATTTCGACAAAGGGTGGAATATAATATAGTTTAATACTTTGGTTAAATGTAGAAAAAACACACCAAATTATCCTTAATCTACTATCATTTATTAGTGTAATACTTCCCATTTTTAAACCTCATAAATACCAAAACATGTTTATAAAATTGCTGTAATATACTTGTAACATGAAGATATTTGTGTGTAATTTCCCTTAAGACTTCCACCAGATGAGTCGTCGTAAAATAGTGAATGCTAATCCAATACTTTTATCGTTCACTTTATGGAACCATCGACTTTATTGAAAGTTTATTTCTTGAAATATAACCTAATGATAATAAATTCTCACAATCAGATCTTATGAACATATTAGTATTATCTCATTTGATAAAATTTTTTAAATACACTGACAAACCTAATGATAAATATCTGTGACTCTTTTACAGTTTTATTAATCCTAGGTTTTAGTGTTCAATGGTTTGAAGATATGTCTTTTAACCAATAGGCTACATACATTCCGACTATCGAATAACGTTTCCTATACCTTGTGCTTTTAAGCATAGTACGTAAGCTAGATTTCTTCAGTCAAAACTTAGATTTCTTGTGTTGCTTTGTGTTTTAATTCATTTCAACATTCAATAATGTTACGTCCCGATAAACATAATGAATGGTAACTTTTGAAATCCATTATGGACCAATACTATATGTATATTTTTATCGTATAATTGTTATGTAACTAAACTATTCATATCTGTGTCCCTCTTATTATGAGCTTTATTTTGACCTATGAACTATTACTATACGATTTACCATTCTTGAATTATACCCTGTCTATTAATTACTACCTCCCTCATCCACAGCCACATCTGTCTAATTCCTGTACAAATGTTGTTTCATATTTTTTGGTACGATGTGGTCTGTTTGATTTGTATATAAACCCGGTATGTTTGAGATAAATGATTCATATTGCAGAGGCTGAGACTGGTGTTCCTGACTTAACAGGCTGGGCTAGGCAGGAAGAAGGACGGATAAGAACTCTAGACTGCTCGTACGGTTTTTATGCGTCACTGGTCCGATCGATAATCCACTGCTCTTTAATTGGCGGCATCGTTACTTTAAACATTAGCAGGGCGCACAAACCACAAGTTCTAACAAATAAAAAGTTTTGCTAATCGAATTATCACAAGTTAACTAGTCATGCATAAATATTTATATATATTTCAGTAATTTTTGACAAGTGTACAGGACAATTAAATCGTTTGTCATTCACGTCACTTCAGTTAAAACTGTTCAAATTCCCGTAACTCCTCACCTCATTTTCCAAATATTTTTTTCCGATAATCGTTTGCATAGTTTGTTTACTTATTATAAAATTGTATAATAGAATGCTCTGAAAATTTTTTGTTAAGTATATTCTTGATTAAGATTAGTCTGCTTCATGATATACATATTTGTTCTATGATCTAACTTGTTGAAGACTGAGATCTTCCATCACTCTTCAGTATTACACCTCTTTGTTAATTTCTATTTCATCTAAAAATTGTTTATAGATTCATTCCTATTTCTTTATATTAAATAGTGGGATAAGACGGTAGACGGACGTACAAATAATCTACCATCTACTGACAATCTTATCGAAATAAACCCTAGTACACATCATCAACCTATCCAACCTTCTATGCTACAAGAAGCTCCAAATATACTTATCAGCAGTTCAAATAGATTAGATGAACCACAGATTGCACCTACTGAATCACCGTTGGAAGGAACAGATATTTCTTCACAGGTAACGTGTATCTTTGGTTATTTTAACGATTCTTAATTTATTCATACGTTTCAGTATACAATAATCTTTTATATTATAGCTATTGGAGTGCTGTTTTAAGATTTTCTATGTAGTGAACCAATCGGAAGCAACTGAGTGAGGTCACCAGATGTCAGTCTGTAGTGCCCTGAAGTACAAATGCATATCATTGGTTAAGAAATGGATTGACTTTCTGGGGGTTAGAACTATATTTATATAAATGAATATTTATGCATTTTATTCGGTAGTCCAGTAGACTTTCTCTTCCATTGTTTTTTCACTCAAGTAGTTAATATGGCGGGTTATCTAGTAGCACTTTATATACCACTATCAAACCAGGAACGACACCCATCCTGGCATTGCTGACATTATTTAAGCGTTTGAACCCGTTGATCTTAATTGAAAAGATAATATACTCCAGTCTTTCATCAATCAGTCATCTAGCCTATTTATATGTGTAGTGAACGAAGACTTGGTGCGGATAACCAATTAATTGTTTATTGCCAAATCAGTGCCTTCGTAAAATCTGTAAACCATTAATGAAATACATCATCTGCACATCTTCCATCAGTTGTCTTACACAAGCTTCATCGTTCCTTCATTCCTGTTGTTATTATAATTACTTTTGTTTACATTCCTGTTGTCTTCAACTCGATCTTCTCAATTTTCTGCTGATAAGCATTCCACAGATTGAAATCATGAGTCAGTTGAAGCTAGACCACCATTGAAAACCTGGAAGCACTGGACGGCCGTTTCGTCCTAGTATGGGACTCCTCAGCAGTGCGCATCCACGGTCCCGCACCACACGGGGCTCGCGCGTGAAGCCAGTAGGTCCTGGGCTCGAGCCCCGCGTGGTGCGGGATCGTGGATGCGCGCTGCTGAGGAGTCCCATACTAGGACGAAACGGCCGTCCAGTGCTTCCAGGTTTTCAATGATGGTCTAGCTTCAACTGACTCATGATTTCAATCTGTGAAAATTTCTAAAAAATCTCCACAAACCCCTTCTGATGATAGGCATTCCACTTTTGACTGGTATTACATACATAAGTAGCATACACCACATATATTTATGTATCCATTTACAGAGAATTCTACTATTCTAGTACATAAATAAAACTTTGTGTAATCAATTGTTGGAATTCATACGCAACGAACCTATTATTTTTGAAAAATAGCTCCATGTTGTGTTTACGTATACATACCAATATATGTGTATGTGGGGTTACGTGTACAGATAGGACTAATCATCCTGTGTATTATAGATCTCAGCATACGTTCTGAGATGCTTTCATTGCTATTATTATTATTTAAGTATTGATGACGGACGTCTAACTTTCATTGTAAAATATATTGTTGAAAAATATGTGGATACAAATTAAAAACTCGGTAGAACCATGTTCTCAGATTAACTGACTGAAGGGATCACTCACTATTTCAAACCTACTAGGTATTTGTCTTTTCTTTTTGTCATGTCGACTTTCAGTTGTTGTCATGTTCTTCATTTTAACCCTCTCTTTTGACCTATTTTTATCTTCCTCATTCAATTAATTATTGTGTTTCATCTATATATGTCAGAAAATTTATGGTCAAATTGTGTTCGTTTTTCTGTACAAATAGGTTAAAGACAAACTAAAATATATTTTGTCCCTTCAGTAGAGGTTTTGTTTTAAGGAAGCTAACCATTAATATTGGTTATACTTCATGAAAAGTACCATTTGTTCCTATTACTTTTTCCTACCGCAAAACTAGGTTTAAATACTAAGTGGTAACCACGGTCCTCTGAGTTTTTACAATATAGAACCACTAATTATTGTTTAGTCATTTCGGAAAATTAAAATTTTTGTTATGGAAAAAATTTCCGTTCTCACAGATTTTATCTACTGCAATTACGCAGGATCCGTCTGCTACACCAATTTCGGTTGATCAAGCAATGAGTCAATCAAATGCAGTTGATAATCCACCATTCAATATGTATTTCGATGTTGATTCTGTCCCGCCAGATAATGTGATACGTGATCATGAAGCCCTTCGTTTAATGGAAGAAATGGGTTTTGCTCGTGATTTAGCTATTGTCGCTTTAGAGGTATGTAACGATACGTTAATACATTGTTAACAAAATAGAAAATAGCATTTTTTTCGTGTTTAATTTATGCTTCCTACTGATCAGTCTATCTACCTGATCAAGTGTATCATTCTCTTCATTATCATCGAATATTATATTTGTGTGTGCTGGGAACACTATTCGGGCACCCGAACCGAAGCAGGTAATGTTCTAGTCTTTGACTTAAAGGTCTGATGTACAAAGTGGTGGTCTAACATCAGGAGATTCAGTCCGCTGATAGCCAGTGGCCAAATCAAATTCATACGTACCATCAAGTTCCTGGAGTTCATGTACACTATTGATTTGGTATCAGTATTTTTAAATTATCTCAGGTGAAACTACGTATCCACCACCCCAGTTTAAGCTCCAAACGTTCACTTTTCATCCGCTCACCTTCATAAAAACGTCCTGGATTGAAAAGGCAGTGAGTAGGACTTCAGTCACAGTATTTATAAATGCGTGGTCACCGTCAGTTCTATTATAACATTCGGGGAAGGGATCATACTTATTTCGGTGCCCAGTTTTGCCAGTATATATGTTTAATATATAGATAATAGTAGAACTATCTAGTATTTTCTAACTAAATACATTTTTCTTCCATTTCCAAAGCAAACTGGATGGAATGCTAATGAAGCTGTAAATCTTGTAATAGCAACTTCTCCACATGATCTCATGCAAAATGCCAATCCCTCCTTTATCTCTGGGTTACGAAGAGGTAGAACATCACGTAGAGCTCAACGTAGACGTACACTTGGAGCTGGTAATGCAGCTAATGAATCCAGTCCATTAATAACTAATGTCGATAATTCACAATTCCAAACTGATGTTTATGAACATGTAACAGAATTTATTGATAATGTAAGAATTTTTTATTACTTTAATTCATAGTTGGAATCATCTTTGTATTAAATATAATTTTCAGAAAATTTCTAAATATTCTAATGTTAATAAAGGAAGTAAAATTTTTGTTTATGGTAAATGTTGTACTGATCAATTTACGAATGTTGTCATGCTTATTCTTAATGTACAAATATTCTTAAATGATGTAACATTAGACAAATAGTCCTAAATTTTTAATTGTTATTTCCATATGTTAACGTCACCTAGATCTGCACACGTATCTTGTTTCCTGTTGTACACGGTCTTTAAGTTTTGTATTTATGACAAGATTGCATAGCTCGTGTTTTATCGACTGCGTACATAAAAAAATCAGCGTACATAAAGTTCACAATCCGATGTAGGTCCTTAAATGATTGGGTTCATTCTACCGAATCATCTCAAGAAGATAAAAGTGGATCAAACAACATATTATTTCCTAGGTTACATCCAATGTTATTATGTATGGTGAATTTTAATTTTTGTCTGTAGTTCATATTCGCACGATTATTCCATCTGCTTTTTAAATAATCTCATTTTGTTTCCGGCTTAAACTGAGTTTTATTCCTTCTGTACGTTTTTTTTCCAGTTTAGTACCAGTGAACATATAGAATCACGAATCAATCCAGAATGTCCCACTTTGTCTGATAACGAAATCACCTCGTCGTTAGGCAATAAAGACACTTCAACTATAAAACGATCCAATATATCTAAATTTCCACTCGTTATGATGGAATTATGTAATGAGAAAACTTATAATGAAGCGTGTGAATCTCTTAAACAAAATGTCTTCAAGACATGTTATGCTATTGCTAAATGTCATCAGTCCTACCAGGTTAGCATTAATCTATAATTTTAACAAATCCTCCCCATTAATAACTATTTTCATGTGATTTCTTTATATTACATAATATTCAAGCCAAGTTATTATTTTCCCACTCATTAATATTGACTGGATCATAGGATGCTGATAGTGTTAACTGTGTGTATTTAGTATCATTTTGTGAAACTATCTAACATTTTACTAACTGAAGTTATTTATTTGTTTATTTCAATGCAAACTATTTTTGATATCTTTAGTATAGTCTACCCATAACTTTTAGGGTGAAATCAAGCCTAGAGTCATCTTCAAACCTGCCAGTTCAATGGGTTGCCCTAAGTAGTTCGCAAGTTCAACCGTAGTCTTCACAGTTTTGTAAAAACCAGTCCTATAAGTTACTTGATTTAATCCTGATATGACTAAATTTCATCTGACTAGGGATTTGAGAATACTCCTGGCAAACAGACTCTAGTGAACGCATGCTCATTATTATTAAGATAGTTAGTTTGTGTATATTATTCACCAGTTTTAATATTTTATGTTTTTTTCCCCATCTCTCATAGATTCTCCATCAAATTGCTGAACTATTTATATCCAGCGGAGAACATGAACAATACATCAATGAGTTATTTAGCGTAGTCACATCACATCTAAAGTCATATTTTAGTGTTTCACCTAATAAAACTCCAAATAAATCTGACAATGAAAATTATGACTTCACAAATTATGAGAAAGAACATCAAACTGTTGGATTACATTTAATTGCTCTCCTATTCACCAGATCCCCATTAGTTTGTGCTTGTTTAGCTTGGAGTCATAAACTTCCAAGTGTATTGATTCAATTTGTATCCGATTCAGATATTCTAAATAAGTCAGTTACTACTACTACTACCTCTAATAGTAGTAGTGGTGGTGCTCGCCAGAAGACACCCGAATGGAAGTGGACGAATTCAGTGCAGATATATCTTGCAATTCGAATGCTATTTCAAAATCTGATTACTACAAAACACTGACTTTAGCATTCCTTGTATTAGATCAGTATGAGAGAAGTATACAAGTATGTTCTTTTACAAGATATTAGTTTTAATGTTAAAATATTCGTTATTGTTCACATTCGACGTTATATATATATATTATCATAAATTTGCATCACAGTTTCATTCATTCTTTCATATTAAGCTTCCGTTACTTCTGGTGATTGAATACTGGATATTGGCTTCGTAATCGCTTTTTTATCTTCCAGATCACTCGTAAACTTGAGCTCTTGACGGAAGAGAGGTGGGGAAAGAATGAATGAAAGCTTTATCTCCAATGTTGGGTGAATTGTAGGAAAAAAAACGGCATCTGTAGGCTTACAGGTGACCTCGCTATCCTAGAATTGTTTTGAAATAGGCTAAATTTAGTGACGAAATAGGTAATTATGCAATTACGATACGACAAATTATCCATCAGTTTTCTGGGACTTTCCATTGAACCTTAATCGGACTTAATGTTTCCTATCTTTTCTCAGCTTCTTGAGATTTTTCCAACAGTTTTATAATGTTGGGTTTATTGTATTATACATTATTAAATATTATTGTTAACGTACAATACTGTCATTTAACATATTTGTTCATGAGACCATAATTTATGGACGCCTTTGAATAACGCCAAAGTGACCTTGAGAAAACCCATCAATTTACCATGGTCTTAAAATGGTTATAAATTATCGTGAGTTAGGGTTTTCGTCATGAACTTAAATCGGCTGTAATACTACAATGTTATTTCGCCATATGGACTGATGAATTTCTGATCAAAACCCAGGAATCTCTATGTTAAATCTGATTATTTCGTTCATAAATCACAGTCCCGCCATCGAAGACCATATTCCTGTAATTATATCTAGTTGTGCATAATGTTCAGAGAAAATGATCAGTCATGAGTGGAGATTAGCTTTTCACTCATCTCTCATTATAATTCTGTTTTTTAAACGTTTCTACAAGGGGCATGGAAACTTATACATTAATACAACTGCTGTTTCACAATAACATTTACACGTTTCCTCAAATTCTTTTGTTTCAGGCTCTACGTTTACGTCAAGAATGTGTCAAGCTGTATGCTTCTTCGCATAATTGGCATTGGTTTGATAATCAAGCAATGCTTTGGCATCCTTATACTAATGAAAGTATACGAATTATTGATAAAAGTTTTCATAAAGGTGATTTATGTGCATGTTGTGATATTAATCGTCGACCATATACTATTGAATTTCCAACTCTGACACAAATAAACCTTGTCAGTATGCATAGACGTCCTGTTATGCTTTTCCCATCTGTTTCTGAGACTACAGAAACAGATGAAGCGTCGTCAATACAAAGTAAGTCATGGAAATTTTGTACTACAGTTCTCCTTACTGATTGCTTATTTTTATCATTATAAAATTTACATAACATTTATAAATCATTAATTGTATTTTTTATAATCTCTTTCTTACGGTTATGACCCAGCTAGTGTTATTGCTTAGTATTCTCGGACACCGATTCACTCGACAAGTCCCCAAACCCAGAACACGGTTGAACAGGAAAGAGATTATATTCCAAATAACAAGGTTAGATGAAAGTAAGGTACCAGTAAGAAGCACAGTAGGAAAAACGTTAGTATATTTATGGTTTTTACATGAGAAGATTCTAGAGTATTCTCCAACTATCGACTAGTGCTGATTGAATAAGAATTAGCCAATCAGCGTGCACCAATGCAATCGTGCATTGAGCATGCTTTAATCCAGTCTATGTCCCGCTAACAGTATTCACCAATTATCTTACGATATTTGTCGGTTATTCTGACATTACCTAATATAAAACAAGACCGAGAGTAGCAGTGTGGAGGTTGTTATTTGTTCAATATCTAGCGTACAATCTAGTACGCAGTTGTCTTTTATGCTAGATAATCAGTCAGTCAGCCTAAACTTAGGACCAGGTACATATATGCATTGGTTTAAGTTCCCATACCTTGTTAGCATAACACGGTGAACATCAAATTCCTAGTAGTTATTTCAATGGTAGTAATATATTGAAGAAAGACTGCATATAAGGATATAATACAGAACGAATTAGTTGGTAGAAAGAAAAGTTTAAAGCAATTTAATCTCACGGTTTAACAGAAGACAAAGAGTGTAGACACCTACACCATTGTAGCCGATTCTGAGCCATGTCACCCAGAGTCTCCAACCATTGGTTTTGATAGTCACGCAGACCCCAACCAAGTAGTTTGCATCTACCAACATGGTTCAAGCTAGAAGTTAGTGACATTATGGACGGATGTCACGTTTTGATTTGACTGCCCCTCATTTCCAACCATCCCCTACACTAGTCAGTATTGCGCGTCGTGGTAATCGGTGTTCAGGCATACACAACACGTGGCCCAATCATCTCAGTCGATGAAGATTCACAACCTCATCAAGTGATTTACCATCATTCCCTAACACCCCGCATGTAACCTCATTATTATTTACCCGGTGATCCCAGCAGATGCGAGCTATATTTCTGAGACATCTGTGGTCAAATGCTAGTAGCTTACGAGTATCTTCTACTCTCAGTATACTCGTCCCTTAATTGATAGACGGATGTCTCGCCTTCGCCATAGGTGATGTAAGTTGGCAATAGCCAAACGAGTCTTTTTATGGTATAAGTATATCATCCTGTGCGAATAACTGTCTCTGAGTTACTATTAAGTCTTCTTGAAGTACTCGTGTCTTGTTTCTTTATTTACAAACTTCAACTATCTATAAACACACCATACTTATAGTTTGAATGGCTATATCATTTGTTTTTTCTAGCGACACCTTATGAATTGAGTTTAATGAATACAAAGATACCAGAATGTTTGAATGCAGGAGAACGTTCAAAACTATGTCATGCATTATTGACACATTTCCGTACCTTCAAAAATTTATCATCTTCAGAACAACAATCACATTCCGAAAATCAGCATTCTGATGATCAGTCTCCTCTACCTTCAGACTGTTTAAACGCTATGTTCAGGTTGTTACTACGTTTATGCTTTACAAGTTATGAAAATGCAGATAAGTTAGCTGAAGCGGATCTCTTGATAACTCTATTTTCATATCCACATACGCGAGAGTTTTCTCCGGAATTCTCATCTTTCGTCGGTGCTTTGATTTCCGAAGTGAGTTTCCTTTAAAAATTTGTCGTCATTTAATGGATTCCTTTCTCGTTAACCTATTTACTACTTCCTGCTCAAATGCATTCATTTTATTATTGATCTCATCCTGAATGCGATTTTACTATGTATATCGCCTCACATAAAACTTATCGATTGACTAATAATGTCCTAATATCGATTTTAAACCTGTCATGCATCAGCGACGTAGAACATGTTATTTATATTCATCTGCCTTAGCTGTCACACTAAATTAGCTTAGAGAAATTTGAGTATCAAGATCAGTACCAAAGTAGTAGTTATAATGTTATCAAAGCATGGTGCGATTCCAGAGGAATTCACGGAATAGAATATTTTAAGATAATTTAAAACTTAAAACCTTAGGAATAGCAACGCGTGAGTACATCTGCACCATTGTGACGAATTTTAACTCATATCACTCAATCTCTTCAACCAATGATTGCCGTTATCGCCTAGATCCCAATCAGATGGTTTACACATACCAAAATCACTCGAATTAATTGTCAATGACTTCATGAAATAATGCCACAGTTTTATTTGGCCATCCTAAGCTTCTTCGGAACTTACTCGCACTCCTATCAACATCGCCTATCGAGGTAAGCTATAGTTTAGCATGTGTAGTACACGTCTCAACTATTTCATTCGATAAGGATTCACTACCTCATCGATCGATTTACCAGCTTTTCCTAGTACCTTTCTTCAATCAATAGTCCTAGCATACGCAAACCGTTCCTATGATCAAATACTAGTAAACTACGAAGGTTGCACCCTCAATCCCCGTAAGAGCCAGGATTAGATACTTATGACTTTGTATAAATATATAATTTTATTTTTATCTCTAGATTTTTGACGATACTTCGACAATTGATCGAATAATGAAGGAAATTTACATCCGAATGTCCAGATCTGGTATGCCTAATGTGTTCATGGGAATCGATGCTGGTCCTAGAGCTTGTCGAGATTTGTTCTATTTGTTGAGCTTATGTACACCGTTGCTTGCTAAAGATCGTGAACGTGCTCTTAGATTAGCAACAGAAACATTCAGTTTATCCTTGGCCGATAGCGATATAGAAGGTAACTATTAATCTGTAAATAATTTTTTTATTCACACTCATTGTATACATTTCAACTAGAAAGTGGAAGTTATCGCTTTTATTTCGCTTCTCACCGGATTTCGAACAAGTGAAATTGAAAATTGTTTAATTCTGACGAAAGTTTCCGACTTACATGTTGAGTAGTTTGAGTACATTGTACATAATTGTTTGCATAAAAATAGTGAATTTGTGCATATATACAGGTTTTTCCCCCAGTTGATACATTACTTATAAAAGGTCAGGCTTTCTTGATCCTAAGAATTCTGTTTCTCATCATTCAGTCACCTGACTCAATATTCAGTATACTAATATCATTGTTGCAAGTGATTCGGAATCTAGGTTTTGTCAGGGTGATGATTTTTCCACTATATATTTGTCAATTCAGTGTGGATGAGTTTATTGTATTGCACTTCCATAGCATTTACTCACATGCATCTAACTTGAAACTTTCATATCAGTTGCAATTTTGTTAGTCTGTTTTTTCATTTTGATTGTCACGATTGTTAATTAAAAATCTTACCATCTATTTTCAGGTAAAGTTTATCCAAAGACGTATGTCGTTGAAGAAGCTAATCCTCCTGGTGCTGCTGTTACTGACCGTTCTTCAATTATATCGTTCCCCCTTAGTCCACGTCAGAAGCATTTACTTACCCAGCTAATGGATTTAATTATGTGTTCAACTTGGAAATCTAGAGGAAATCACAATTTAACTGGTCTCCAACATTTAGAAGTAAGTTTGTCGAGCAGATCTATATGTCGTCAGATATGACACATTTTTATACTTGGATAATTAAAATCATTCTATATCTCCTAACTAATGCAAATACCATTATTTTAATGATGTGAATGTAGCCCTTTGCCTGATTAAACATTTTTAGTCGAAGTTTCGTACATGCACATAATTAATGCCACTAATTTACAACCATCCCAGCTAAATCCCCAAAGATAATACTTTCGTATATGTCAATTTTAAATAATAAGTGAAATAATGGGATCAGTTTTTCTCTTTTTTACACTATTGTCTAGCTAAATTAGTGGTCACGTTCCTCACCATACGTTGTAAGCTTTGATTTATCACTTTACTCAGCTGAAAGGTCTATCATTTGCTAATTTTATATATAAAATTTTAGGGAAAATCCTCTTGCATAGTCTACAACTGTACTTTGTACAATCAGTCATTATTATCTCTTGTTCTTTTACTAGTGTATTAAAATTTATTGTTATTTGAGCACTAGTCCGTGAACAATTCTGGTTATTCCTTTTCGTATCGTGATTATTGTAGTTTCACCATACAATTGAAGCAAAATCATTTGTCTTTCATCTAATGTATGTATATATTATACTTTGTTATGAGTATTGCCGCCAATAAAATCTATAAACAGTGTGAACATAAGAATCGGTTCACTATATAAGACAAATATTTGCATTTCTACCCCATAGATTGTTTAACGATTCGTTGGCACTCTTCTCTCAATCGGGACAAACGATTTTCTTCATAAGTTTTCCGTTACTTTTAATCTCCTGGATTAAATGTCAATTTTCGATTATGTACTATACAATAGCTGACGTATATAATTAGAATCTTAATATTGTACATTAGTAAACATTGTATATTTGATTGTCTTTTCGTTTGCAGGTAACAGAAGCATCCGGAAATGACGGTTTTACCTCAGAATCTGTTTATCCTCCAATATCTAATACAAGAAATGTTATTTCGAGGAGCGGTGCTACAAATGTACAATCTGCTAATACATATAGTCGTTCAGATCAGTCATCACTAGAAAACTCTACAATTCGTTTAACACATAGTGAATTTAATAAACAAAACGGGTTTGTAGTTTTAGGCAAATCAGATGCGATGCAATACTTGATTGACTTAGTTGGTACTTACAAATCCGTCGCTGAATTTGTCGCAATGTATAAACACAAACATTCCATGGAGCATACATCTGGAAGACCAAACACCGATGTATCAAAGTGTTCTTTTATCTCCTACTTATTTAGTCATCTGTTAAATAACTCTGAAACAGCCGAATCTACCATGTCATTGTTGAAAAATTTAATACTCATCAGTAGTGAATCCATTCAAGGAGTAATTATAAATGAATTTAAAGCATCGCTTGGTCGCGTTGCCACTAAACATTACCCTATTTCACCAGAAGATATTAAGTCTGAAGTTATCTCTCCAATGAAAAATGATCGAATCTCATCTCATATGATGTTTTTAATGCGTATACTATCATTGCCATCTCCTTTAATTAATCGTGTTTTACGTTTGTTATATAAACGAAGAATACCAGCGGATATTGCTAAATTAATTGCTATTGTTGACTGCAATTTACCTAACACACAGTTCACAATTAATATTATGTTGCACGCTCTAGAAAGTTTAACTCTAGTAGATCGTCAATACACTAAGTTTAATTCGCAAGGAAAAAGACTTGCGAATAACTCTACGGGACGACAAGTTAATGTTGCGTCAGCCTCAAATGAAGAGTCAGGTGATGTAGAAATGAGACTCACTAATACTATACAAACATCTTCAACTATTACCGACTCAACCTCACAGAATCTAATGCTTAATACCATACCATCATCTGAACAAAGAACTGATGTCTCCCTTGACAGAGGCACAACTAACATATCTTCCACCATTCCTGGATCGGATCATACTATCAATACTTCCAGAGATTTTGAGACTGATTCCGATGATGATGATGACGATGATGTTACAATGTCCGATCAACAGGAGTTTTCACACCCTGTGCAAAATGTAGATTCAGCTTTCGATAGACCTAGTTTGATTTTATCTAGCACTGCACAAGGTAGTGCTTCTTCAAGTCTTAATCGCGTTCTTAATGATGTTTTGGCTGCCCAGGCCGATATGGTCATTAATTCTGATCACAATGAAAACGTCCATCAACCTTGGCGTAGTGTAGGCAACGGGGATCAAGAAACTAGATCTGTGATATTTGTTTATGATGATGAAGATGAAGGAAGTTCCGGCCAAGGTGCTGAAGGTAATAATAGTCAAGAAGAGGAGGAAGACGATGATGTCCTTGGCGAAGATGAGGACGAAGAGGATGATGATGATGACGACGATGACGATGATGATGACCAGGACGATGAGGACGGTGAGAATGATCCGGATGTTGAAGGTGACGACGGTGATGTTGATGTTAGCGGTGAAGATGAGGAGGTTGCTTTTGTTCTTAGTAGAAGTCGCAGACATGGGAACCGTACTCGACCTTCTGGTTTGTCTAGCCCACGTCGTCGTCGACCGAATGCTTCCATTTCTGTTACCGTTACTACTAGTCGAGCCAACAGTGATCGCAATCAGAATACTGAATCTCATGACGATGGTGGAAACTTGCATAATGAAGATGCCGATATTGTACTTCATGACGATACGCATGTGGACGATGATGGGAGCTTTGGTGATGATGATATAGATACGTATGGTAGAGATGACGATGATACTAGTCGAGATGATGTAGCGATTATTTCTTCTGATATACCTGGTGTTATCTTTCCCAATGAAAACCGTGGGTCTCATGGAAACCATTCAGTTGCAGCTGTGGTCGAAGAGACTCTCCGTCGAGTAGTTGCTCCACCTTTGAATGTAATCTCATCTAATGGTTTTAGAGATCTCGGAACAAATAATCTGTCAACCTTAAATGTCCAGTCGCGAGGTTCTTCTACCGGTAACTGGGATTATCTTCTACCCGCCTTTACGAATTTAATTGCTCGTCATGGTTCCCGACACATTCCTTTTGATGGTGAATCTAACCTACCGACAAGTACTACTATATTCCGTTTCGGTCCTGAGGCATCAGTATTTGTAGGTGGAACTAATTCAACTCGTTTGGGATCTGGTGTAAATTTTGTTTATTCTTCAAATAATCAAACAGGTCTTAATAATTCTCAATCTATTCAAGCATTACCAGCTGCAACCCTGGCAAATCAGCATCCTTTACTTCAGGTTTGTTTTTTATATCGTTTTTCACTTTTCCTATTACATGCGCTTACAAGATTTGTTAGGTCTGATCCATAATAAATCATTAGGTATAACCGTAGAACTAAAAAGCTTTGGACTCGTAAAATTTAATTTTCTGTTGTTCAAGTGGTCATGTTAAACTTTATATTCCTTATCTCACTAAATCTCCATACGTTTAACACAAATAACTAACCAAATGGTAAAATCTCTTTGTAGAATAGATGGAATATGGCTAACAATGAAATCTAGGACGTGCGTCTCTTCTCATTCAGGATTCGTTACAAGTCTCAAAGTTACTAATAGTCTTAATGACCATGTTAATTACTTTCTTGTATTAGTTTTGCTAGGCTGTTAGTTTGTATTACAACTTAAACAGGCACATTCGCGCCCCCTAATTTTTTGTTCATGTCTGACTGGCTTCAAATAAATTTGCTCACTACTTACTAAATGTTGACTTCCAATTGAACGTTTTGAAAATTATGTAGTACTATTCTTCTGTGTTTCTACAACTTAAGGTACCGATGACCGCTGGAGCTAATGTTGGTCTTTCAACAATTAACACAACGCTGGAACATCTAGTCACAATACATCACTCAATAACGTTAGTGGCTTACGTGTATTTGGCGTTCTACCGCGACCACAACACGTTCCTCCTCACTATGGTACACGTCATCGGATTACAGGTTCATCCGGACCACATCTTTCCTCCAGTCTTACTGGTTTACGCCATCATACTTCATTTAGCCGACTACTTAATGCTGAATCGGAACCAGATGGTGTTAGTTCGGGAGGGTCTAATAGTCTGACTCGAAGTCAACTTGCTACTGATGTTAGCGGTTTAGGTTTAAGTCGGCCAATCATCGCAGATGCTGTTTCTATGTCACCAGTAAATCGTGTATTTTATGTCCCACCAACGATCCCTCAACAACAATTTCCACCATCTTATGGCAGCCGTCATCGATTTCCAGGCACAACTCTATCTCACCTCCCTTCAAGTTCCGGTAGTTGTTCACGTCACCAAACCTCATTCAATCGGTCATTTAATTCTGATTTAGAACCAGATGCAAATAATGAATCTAGCAGTAGTCACTTTTTCAGCCAAGTTACTGCCAATGCTCGAGATAATCGTTCTGGACCAGAAGCCGATGCACTGGTGTGGACTATGCTAACAAGTCTAGCTGAAGACCAACCTTCTCCTGTTAATTCCGCTCTAAGCGCAGCTATATTTTCTAGGTTCCTTTCACAAGGACAAACTAGTCGAAATCAACAAGGAATTATGGATATTCGTTCTAGAGGACTAACTCCTTATGCAGGCTATGCTCTACCACCCCATTATCGACGATGGACCAATCTATCCCGAATGTTATTCGGGCATGAAATTATGGATCTTATTCTTTTGGGTCGTCATCATATTTATAAAGCCCTCGAACAGAAACGTCATGAATTATACAATCTGCGTATTTCAGAAAATGAAATAGTCTGCTTATCTGTAGTTACTAGTTCTCCGGATGAACCACTGGTTGCAGCTCCAGCATTAACTTCTACTAATAATAATGCTAATGAATCTGCAGAAACGTTTGTAACATTTGCCACTCCTCTTGTTACTTGCGTGTCAACGTCTGAAACTCCGGTTACACTCAAGAATCTTCTGTGGATTTACAACAACAACTACCTGTTGTTTCTATCGATAGTGTACCTACATTTAATCAAACTAATCCAGATGTATGTGTCAGTGAAGCATCTGAAATATCGATTTCATCAGATGTGTGTAAGTTATTATGAATTCTTTTTCATATCCCAAAATTATATACCATTTGTTTATAATGTTACACACTAACTTGATCTCTAGCAGTATTATCTCTGGAGCTCAATGGTTAGAGGGTTCGACTTCCAGTCACTTAGTCCCAGGTTCGAAATCCATTCCACATGATTTGGTTTCCCAACAACAGAGTATTGTCATTAATTTGCTCACGTTGTGTGGCTCGTAGTCAATCTACTCAATGAGCAAGTAAACAGTAATCCCTAATAATAAACGCATATAATTATTCTTTCCCCAATTGTATTTTCATTTGTTTTAAGTAGGTTTCGCATTTCAATTTACAAAACCTAAGCTATCAGTTTGTATTCATTGTTGTACCTCATCTTTCTATAAATGTTTATTTTACAGTCCTGGTAACATTGTTTCCACTTTATTTTAAGATGACTACAGAAAGGACATTATGTTCTCATTCTCAATTCCACTACCAGTTACATGTTTATGTACTCTATTTTGAGCCACATTGCAAGCGCGACAGCTAGTAATACCACTCAGTTACCTTGACTGTACGTAGGTAAAGCGGAGTTTGAACTTGTGATCTGTCGGTTAAAAGTCGAATGTTTTACCCATAAAGCCACAAATATTTTGTTGACAACCTTGTATTGTAGTTGAGTTTAGTATAATGACGGTATTCATTTTGTTCATTCTTGATTAAGTGCTCTATATTGTGAATATCACCAACTATTAAGAGTTTTATTTTCAAGTCCCTCAATCAGAAATACCTTTACATGGCATAAACAGCCAGGAAGTGACGTTTACTCTCATATATCTCACAGAACTAGAAATCCTCTCGTTAATGGTCTGATCACTCAGTATGCTGAAACTAAATGTAGACGAAGTGCAATACTTAATTCATTTCATTCATTTCAACACATAGATAATGGTACAAAGAGACACCAAATACATATGCGCCACACAAATCTCAGGGCTGTCCACTCTCCCCATTCTTGTTCAACTTTGTGGTCGACGTACTTTTAGAGATAACACTCTCCTCATCTAAATTTCCAGGGGTTGAACTTCTACCGGGAGGTTCACTTGTTGACTTGGAATATGCTGATGACATCGTTTTATTTGGTGAAGACACTGACAAAATGCAGAGTCTTCTGGCCACTCTAAGCAACAATGCAAGCATGTTCGGGATGCGATTCTCTCCCTCGAAATGCAAAATGTTGCTTCAGGATTGGGTTACATCGACACCCGAACTAGTGATAGGGAGTGAAGTAGTTGAGTGTGTCGACCGCTTCACTTATCTTGGAAGTTTCATCAGCCCTTGTGGTTTAGTGTGTGACGGAATCTCAGCACGGATACAGAAGGCCCGATTAGCTTTTGCCAACTTGCGTCATTTATGGCGTAGGCGAGATATCCGTCTATCAACCAAAGGACGTGTTTACTGCGCAGCAGTTCGTTCCGTCCTACTTTATGGCAGTGAAACATGGCCGGTAAGAGTAGAGGATATCCGTAGGTTACTAGTATTTGATCATAGGTGTCTTCGAAACATTGCTCGTATATCATGGGACCATCGAGTAAGTAACACAGTTGTTAGGAAACGGGTACTAGGTAAGGATGGCAAATCAATTGATGAAGTAGTGAAACTTCATCAGTTGAGATGGCTGGGACACGTGTTACGTATGCCCAACGACCGACTGCCTCGACGTGCTATGTTCAGTGGTATAGGAGTAGGTTGGAAGAAAGCTAGGGGCGGCCAAACCAAAACATGGCACAAGTCCATGAAGTCACTGACAAGTGAACTGAGTCATGTTGGTAGGTGTAGACTACCTGGTTGGGGACTGCGAGATGATAGCAACCGATGGTTATAGACCCTGAATGACATGGCTCAAAATCGTTTGCAATGGCGCAGGTGCATCCACTCTCTGTGTTCTCCCAAATTCTAATCTTCTGAATCCTTCATGTCCCTTTTTTCCTCTTTCCAAATATATTTCACTGGATTATACTCTTTAAATAACATCTCCAAACCCTAATCTTCCCGATTACTGCTTATACTCTTATTACCTCTACCACTACGGGATTTAAATCGACACTGCATCTCTGTGCTAATGTGGTGTGGCAATTCGAACTGATGTACGTACGTACGAAGTACTACGTTGTTACTGACTGACTTAATATTTGTCTCATAGTTTTGACTATAGACTAAAAGAGATACCTTTTCTCAAATTATCATCACAGTGTAATCTTTTTTTTTTCAAGAATATATTATTACTGTTATTGTTTATATTTATGATCATTTTCTAATATTTAAGCTATGTCAAATCCAGCTATTTTACCTGTTCAAAATGAACCAGAACCTGCAAATCCTATAGAAAATATATCAAATCTTGTAACATCTAATGACATTCCTACTACTAATACTTCCACTGGACCACCAACAAGATCTCTTGTTATGACTGATGAAGAAACTATTCAATCATTAGTGGAAGGTGGAATGGATCCGTCGTTTTTAGATGCATTGCCTGAAGAAATGAGACAAGAAGTTATTGCAGATCATCGTTATGCAAGACAAGTTCAACAACGAATTAATTCTATGAGTTTACCGGTACATGTTAATTCAGAATGGTTGACTGGACTTCCACCTCATATTCAAGAAGAGGTAACTATTTGAATACAGTGTTTATTTTTATATCTGCTATGTCTTGTGGTGTATTTCTACATAACTTCACTTATTTTAGTTATTGTGTGTTAGGGTTCTCCGTTTATGTTCAATAGTTTGAAGTAGGTACCAGTGGCATGGATCTGTTTTCTGCAAATAGTTTTCGATCTTAAATATGCGGATGATATTGTCTTACTTACTGGGTAATGATAATCATGCTATTCCATCCTTAACATTTAGTTGGTTGGTAAGCAATGTCCGTAGTTGTAACATGTATACTCCACCTTCTAAATCCAAAGTACTTTTACGAAATTGATAGGATCCTACGCCTACAGTTACACTATATAATGAGCTGTTAGAAATAGTTGAAAAGTTAGCGTATCTGGGTAGATGAATGGGTACTGACGTAGTCGTGATTGATGAGATCAATCTAAATATGGTTAAACCCGGAGTCACTTTACGACAGACCAGTAAGAGCAGTTCTATTTTTTATGCGTCACATAACTCATTCGATTTATGTGAGGGTTCAGATTCTGTTCGGGTGCCCGAACCGGCTCAGGTAGCTTTCTTAGGGGGTCACACTCGGAGCCTTTGACCTGAAGGTCTGATCCATGTAAGGAGATGCGGGCCCACGGTAACCGGTGCTCAACAATAGGTTCATACGCTATTTGTTTCCTTAGGATCCTGGAGCCCATATTCACCATTGGTTTGTAATCAGGGTTTTCCAACTCCCCTAGGTGATTTTCCGTATCCACCAACCCGGTTAAAGCATCAGACATTCGCTTTTCGTCCTCTCAATTTCGTAAACAACACTCCCGCCACGAGAAGGCAGTGAGTACGACTTCCCTGGCAGTGGTTGTATGCGTGTGACCACTGGAGAGCATTTCGAGAGGGAGAGATGTTTTCCCAATACTGGGACTGATTAGTACTAACGGAGAGCTAATCAGTTTATAAGAGGGTACCAAGATGTGATTCTTACAACCTAATGCTCATCCTGACAACATTTTATGTCTCACTTATTGTAACTGACAATCTAAACAAAGTAACTTAACTTGAGAAACTTTACAATACGATGTATAACATCGCTGTTTATTCATCTTAAATGAAATAAGTTTTTCACATTAATTTTTATTTATTTTTCGTGAATACACTAATAATCGGATTCGTAAACTACAATTAGCTTCATATTGCACAGTCTATTTTAATACTCATCACTGTTATTTATATTATTGATAGTTATAATCTCAGAATCGCGCCTTTATGCGATTGTGTTTCAAGGTTACATTAACTATAGATATATATTCCAAAAATAATAATTATCGAGTTCATGCTAGTTTACAGGCATAATCAGGTTGATATAGATAACAATCTTAAATGCATAGGACATATGTGATATATATATATATAATCAGTCCCAAAAATGCGAAGTGTTAATCGTATCTGCCCGGATCGCAGCCTTAATTTATCCTTTATGCGAAAACTACTATGAATAAACATACAATATTCTGGGAGTGGTCTAACATATATTTTGTACATTAAAATGTGCGACTCGTTTTTATAGAGGTTACGGATTATTCAACCCAGAAGACTTTGAAATCGGTTTCGAGATCTGTTCTGAGTATGACAAATTGTACGATTATAGGTCCGTTACAATGACAACAATAAGTATTATTATTTCCTTAGGTCCTAGCACAATTTCGTCAAGAGCAACAACAACAACAGTCTTCCACCCAACCCCCTACAACCACATCTGGCGAAACTAATTCAACTGAACAACCTACTACTCAGCCGCCATCTACGCAAAATACAACTGACAGTAATACTGCATTTCTTGTGTCTCTGCCACCTTCTGTACTTCGTGAAGTATTGGCTGATATGGAAGAATCACAATTGGAAACACTCCCCCAGTATTTGGTCGTTGAAGCTAACAGATTACGTCGAGAGCACGAAGAACGTTATGCTCGTGCTGTTCAAAATGGTATTTTAGCTCATTCCAATGATTCCCGACCTTATCGTGAGTGACTGTTAAATTTTCGTTAAGATTCGTTCCTCAGATCACAAAGTATCATCCATTGGCTATAATATATTCAAAAATCGGGCATGGCTGTTTTTCACTGCTTAGTTGATAATGTGTTGTGATTGATGGAGCTTGATCTTGAACGTGAGATCATTCATGACAATCACACAATTTCTCACTTACTATGTCAAAAACTCGTCTACCCGCAATTTCTAGAAAGTAAGCGTTTCGAATAAGACAGCTTTAGTGTCATGAAATACGAAAAACAATTGGTTTTCATCATTTTAATCATGCTTCACTCAGCTACCCACATTAAACTTTTTGCAAAGCTTCACTTATCCCTACATCGAAACTGCAAACAGTAAACAATAACGCACCTGTACTCATGAAATTAAAATCGAAATCAACTGTGAATACATCTTGTTTACTGTAAACAATCGGAATATGTAGTAGATTAGTCTACAGCTACCAGTTATACTCTTTCGTGGGCACACTAGAAAAATCTGTTACATTAATAAGCTGCATATTTCAGTTGTCTAGCTCACTATGACGTGAAATCATGCGAAATATATACAACTTTTCACCAACATGAAATGTGAGGATTGAATTTGAATAATCCCAGCAATTGAAATTTAACTAGTCCCAACTTTTTGTACGTCAATATAATCGAGTATATTCATCGCTGGAGGGAAGTTCGAAATAGCTTACCGGACAAATTATTTCATTTTCACTCCCTGGAATTGTTTCAATATGATTTTCATCAATATATATATATATATATATATATATATATATATATATATTTCTACCTAACTGTTCGTTCATATTTTATTAAATATTCATAACGATTTTGTTCAACAATTTTGTTCTTTTCTAACATTATTTATCTATTTTGTTTTCTAAAGACTTCTGGCGTAATTTCACCACCACTTCTGGATTACTAGGTGGTGGTGGACAAGGACGTTGGATTGTTCGATTTCATTCAAATGATCAAATTGTAGTTCATCCTAACAATATAGATGGTTCATTAAGTCTGAATAATGCTTTAGGTGTTCGTGCAATGGCCGGTTTATCTAGTCGTGAATTAATTGATCATGAAGGATTAACATGTATAATAGTACTGCTTGTAGCCAGTTCTTCATGTTCTAATCAAAGACAAAACATAGTGCCAACGGTGAAGAAAGTAAGTGGTTAATCGTCTCTTTTTGAACAACTGTATCAACAGGTTCTTTATATAGCTAGATTTTCGTAACCTTTAAATCTACTTTATTTCTTATCCGACAGATTTATCGTTTCAAATATGTGGTGTGATTTTTCTATTGTAATGAACTTGCCTATTCTGTTCATCTCCATGTCTTTTACTGCATACATACTTTCATTCTCGCTTTTGTCTCTATCTGACTAAGTCCTAGTATGTTAGTCATTTTGTTAGTTCCTGTTTTGGTCTAAGATTTTGTGATTGCATAGAATTCTTGGTCGACATGTGATTCATAATGACACGATGATGCTGAACTATAGATCCAAGGCTCCCTAACTACACACATCAAAAAGTAAGACAACTAGCTGGTAGAATGGACTTCGATCCCTCAAAAATAACTTGACTGTGTGTAAAATATTTGACACTAGAACACACAATTATGTGTCATAAGCAGCTGTATGATAAGTTTTGTAGGTTACTTATCCCAGTAAGCGTTAATGCTTCACTGCTAAGTATAATTATCACCGTACATACCTGTTTCTTCCCTCACATAATGTGAGTAACTAATTCTATAACCCTGGATTAACGAATATAAATCAAGCATAGAATATAAAGCTCTACTTGCTAACTAATCCGGATTGCATGTCCTTCCTGGTTGACGCAAATGTTGGCACTAAGCTTAAATATCTTTGTTGTTTTGTATTCCCTTGGACCTGGTAAATTATATATTGTAAAATGATAAATTTTCTAGGTTCTGCGTAATCTGTCATGCCACTCTGCTACACGAAATTGGATTGTAAACACCATCATATCTCTGTTTAATGGATTGTCTGAAAAACCTCCTCCCCAATTACAGTTAACTTCTCCTAGTTTTGTGCCGTCCATAGAGGAATGTGAACCAATACCGAGTACTTCACACGATCGTGGGGTATCTTTTCCTGCTTCTGAAAGTGAATTCCAATGTTCTACGAAGCCCTTGTCTAACAACACATTATTCCATACTGGATTTGAAGCTGCCTTGGGTTGCTGGGTACGGATATTCCATCCTGTTCCTCAAAACCTAATCCATACAACTTATCCTCAAAATGACTCTCATACTGTTGTGCCACTTGTTCCAAAGATACGTCTTCATCGACTCCTGTTCGATATATTATACATCCTCAAGGAGCAGTTTTTGTTGCTGGTGTCCTCCTGGAAACTCTGAACGAATTAACCCGCGCATTTCCATCGCATTTTTATCCTTCAGAAGTATGTCAGTCAGAGTCTGCTGGAACTTCTCATAGCACTGATAGTAAGTATTTTCCAGTTTTAGTGTAAAAATAAATATCACTTATCATGCAGATCTTCTGACATCAAATAGCTATTCACTTAAATGTGTCGTTAATAAAATATCACTATTATAGTACTTCGATCTCCATTAGGGGTGGAACAGTGCATCAATTGTTAAGTTATCCAGCCTTCAACTACCATGTCTCGCGTTTTAATCCTACTCTGCCTACTTCTGTTTATACAACAGTGTAGTATCACTTGTTCTCGCTATTGTCTTATAAATATTTGCTTAAACAATTATAGTCCTGATATGAGATATCCGACAAAATTGTCTGTTTCTTTCACAGTCTAAGAGACATAGAACCTGAACTCAGTAGTTCAGCTTATTTGCTGTGAAAGTAAAGATGATACTTATTCTCTTAGGTACCGTCACATCGATTTATTCTGCTTTAGTGTAGTATAACTAAAAGTAGGGAATTTTAACGCTGACGCCGTGGATGCTTCATGTATATATCATTAATCTTTAAAACACACACCTAGGACCCAATTGTGGTTATTTATTTGATCCCACACAACTTATCGTTTCGTGATAGAACAACAGCTTATTGTAATCTTGCACGTTTTTTGTATAATAGCGTTATGTTCAATAGAAGCGTACACTTCTGCATTGAAATTCAATTGTTAATTGCTTGTGTGTTTTTCGGCTTACAAATCCCGAATAGAATAAAAACCCCATTCGCCATTTCATTACTACCTAATATCTAAATTAACCAACTTATATCTACGGTCAATATCAGGTCATCCATCCAAGAAGCCTAATTTTTGGCTGATCGACTAAATGAAAATCTTAATACTAACAACTCATTTTAGTCTGAGTTTGTATGCTCATCAATTGAAATACCATTCCACATATCAAGTCGACATTCATTATTCGATACAGATTTCCAAGTATTTTTCTTCTTAAAACACTAGTGAAAATTCTTTTTTTTTTAATATTGTATTACCGTTTTCTACACATTGTTGTTTGCTTGCTTGCTTATGTTTTGTAAATAGTTGCTTTCACGTCATTCTGGGATATATTCAATCGCCTCTCCCAATCTAACATAACTCCATTGTCTGTTGGATCTACCACACGACCTGTAGTTAGACGAGCAAGAATTTCATCAAGAAAAAGACCTGTTTCAATTTCTGACAAACAACAAGCAATTGATTCAACTCAAGAGTCTTCGTCATCTACATCGAAAACATCTATAAATCCATGTCATAAATCATCTAATTTAACAACCACTGAGACTACTTCATCATCATACTCAGGTAAAAAAAACATTTGACTGTGGATTCATTTTTTTAAAATTTTTTAATGCTTCCATGCATCGAAAGTTGTTTATTGACCATGTACTTTATGTTTTAGACACATTTTATCTGATGTATCTTTCCCTTATTTTTAAACCAACTTCTACCTAGACTGCATTTATCACAGTGAGATTTTATACTCCATAGCAATAATAATTTTATAATCTGAAAATTAGTACAGTACACGCACAGCATAGGCGTCATTAGATGGGTGCAAATTGTTATGTGATAATTGTATTTAAGAAAGTTTAATTTTTACTTTATTTGGGTAAGCATAAATTCCAAGTGGCTTTGTTTAGGACAAATGTGAATTAACGAATATTAATTACGGATGCAATAAAGGGTGTAAAATGGTGATTGGAATGGTGTTAAAGTTTCACACTTTGTGTTTGTTAACAGTCCAAGGAAAAGTATTGATTCGACAGACAGTAGTATACAAACTACTAATAGTCATAGAATTACTAAGCATTTGACATAACCATTAAATATTTTTTTCATGTGAAAAATTGTGCATACTCTCCATAGAGGGGACTTGGAACAGTCTAAATTTGTGGGAGAGACACTAATCCAAAGATGTCCAGCTTGTGGGTTACAGCCATGACAGCGGGTTTTTTTTGCAAGGTTGGACTCTTATCATCACCGAATAGTATACAGTACGGAATGTACACAAGTCATGTCAACAGTTTGTTATTTACTTTCAATGGTAAAGGTTTAAAATCTGATCTCCTTCCTACAACTTTCATCGCAGCATAATATTTAGTCGTAACAGTATATTGTCAAAAATTTATATTTCATCTAATCTATGTGCAATATAGAACCTGATACATGTGTAAATCGGTTCAAGTTGTTATGACCCATTAGCATACCGAGATAAAATTGTTAGGACAAATCTCAGTGTAGTAACAGTATTCATTATTGCAATTTTTTATTAATTCACCTTCAATTTAAACACTATTCTGTCATAGCTTTGTATTCAGTGCATAGAAATGTAGTTCTTATGAAAAAGAATAATAATAAGCCCACGAAACTGATACACTATCTAAAAATGTATTACTTATGATTATTATAGTATCCGAAACATACTCTTTACTCAATATTACTACTGTTGATAACGTACATCACAGACTAACCTTCGTTAAACAATCATTGGTAATCAGAAAGCACTAAACTGTTGTTTCGCTCTATTATACGACTTATCAGTAATGCTCATCTATGACGACACCACCAGGGATTGAACCCAAGTTTTTTACGTTTACTGGTGAGACTGAGAGGTCCAATACTATGATAAAGCAGTTATTTAGTGTTTCCTGGTTTTAATCGTTGTCTAAAATATGTCTATCATGTCGACTTTAAAATTCAAAAATCTTCGTCAAATGTTACTATTATTATTGCTTTCTCGTGCCAATTTTTTATCTTTGCAAAATATTACTACTTGTAGCAGATGCATTGGAAAATGATTCCATGAAAGAAGTAACATATGAAACACAATGCACTAACAATAATAGTCCCAAGTCTATTACTACTACCAATACTACACCAGTGACCGTAAACTGTTTCACTGCTTTATCTGAATTACTTTGTCATCAATTATTACACGACCGTCCAAATCATCAAGAACGCCTCATAACTATTCTTGCTGGGATTGTCAAAGATTTCCTACTTAGTCGATCTCATTCCAATATATCTGTTGCTCAGGCTTCAACTCATCCAACTAATCTTGTTACACCAACCACTGTAAATACTATTTTGACTGATACAAATCAACAGGTAAGAGAAGTGTATACCATGTTTATCTAACTCAACTCCTAATTTTTATGTACTGATCTCTGAGATTCATTGTTTGTGTAACGATTGTCCAAATGAAGTGGATTTTAAACTTATGACCTTACTTGTTGAAAGTCATGTGTTTCAACTAACCAAATCATCACTTCACTATACATATTTCATACACTAACTCTTTAAGAATAAATTATTTTAATCAACTGGTAATCTGTAATACACATGTGTAATTGCTTAAATAACATTTCCTAATCCTTTGTGAATAGTTTTCCCTGGCGATATGATTTTCTCGATGAATTTTCCAGTTACATTATGGTGTATGCTACTTGTGTTGACAGATATGTAACACCAGTTAGAAGTCGAATACCTGGCAGCAGAACGTTGAGATCGAATTTTAAAAAAAGTGATGTAAACAGCGAGTAGTTGTAATAGCAACAGGAAGGATGAAGTTTGTAAGAGACAACTGACGGAAGATGTGTAAAGGATGTACTCAATATATGGTTTTCATATTTTACGAAGACACTGTAATTTTGCATTAAACAATAAATTGGTCATCTACATCTGATTGTTCGTTCATTACAACATAATTCTATCAACTTATAACTACTCTTCGACTAAAGCTTTTATTGAATTTTCAGTAAATTAATGTCTGAACGTTATGTAAATGTCTTAAAGGAATAATATAACTCAACGAACATCTTGTGCACACTACTTCGGATTACTCCTTTAGCGTTGGGGTTAGTAATACTATCTGATTATCCGAACGAAAGTAAGTGAAGCATGTCTCAAATCAGCATCCACACTATAGAAAATCTATGATGGATATAGCATATTGATACACTGTATACTTTTATTACTTACTTACTTACGCCTGTTACTCCTAATGGAGCATAGGCCTCAGACCAGGTATACTTTTATACTGTTACTTTATTTTATTTTCACTGTTGTAGAAGTTATGAACGAATGATGAAAGCTTAACACCACAATTTCATGTTTCAGTTGACCAGTAAATTTAGTCTACGTGGCTCTGAAATGTTATGTTTTAGTGTTTGATTTATATCACGAAAATCGAATTTTAAACGTCAAATCATTGTCCATTCATGTTAAACTTTTTTGACAATTTTTATTAATCCTAATTTATTTGTTTATTTTCACTTAGAATCCAACAGATATATCATCACAGCAATCTACCACTGACATACAATCTTCACATGTTGCAGAAAGTGTCCCCACCTCTATTCCAGAAGACCAATCATCTTCTACACAGCCACCAGTATCCAATTCGTCGAATAATTTAATGTATCCACTAAGACCACAAGTCATTGAAACTTTATGTCAACTTGTATTAGCTCCTAAATTTTCTGAAACTGCTCGTATAATGACCACACAATTGATTACTGATTTGGCTCAAGCAAATCAAAATATGAAGGAATTAATTCTTCGTTTACTGTCAATTACAGCGGGTCAATTGATCTCAAATATATCCGACCAGTTGCAGGTATTACTCATTGTTTATCGATGACTAATGACGTAGATAGTAATAAACGAAGAAACATTACTAGGATCCGTCTGTTCGGGACTCTCGAACCTGTCTACACTCCTTACTTGAAATTAAAGTATTTCAACATCCTTATTCAGACGTGTCCAAATTTAACAACTACTCACTTTTATGAGATCACTATCTCAAAACAGTCAGTAAAAGCATCTAATGAGAAATCTACTTTCTTCTAATCATATATAACTTTTAACAATGATTAGTGAACTCCATGCTCCAAATTATATTTGAGACCAAATGAACTCTAACTGCACTACAAACTTAGTGTCGTAACATAGCTTGCATGGGTCACTGATATTGATTTTTTATCAACAGGAACTTGCGCAAATCTGTCTTTTCACGTTTTACTATTTCACTTTAAATTGACTAAAACAGCTGAATTTTACGTTTTTACAACTAAAGTTGTGACCGTTCCGATAGGTACATGTTGATTTATAGATATAGTTGGCGGTTACATGACATGAATACTTTCATCTTTTTGTTGGGTCATTGAACATGCTTTATACAAAGCTAATAGTTTGGCCCTGGGCAAATTCTGGTTAATGGATTGTTAAGCCTCCTATCGATTGTGCTTGTGACGTTATCACCTTTGAAGTCGAGATTTATAAATATTGGTTTTCTATTGTCTGTAGATACATCTGTTTTGTTATCTTCAGTTTTTTTCACAATTATCAATAAATTTCTGTCGGTAGCATTTGTCAATTCATAAACTCTTGTCAACTTAATTGAGTCAATAGTTAACCTCTGTTCAATTATTTAGTCAATCCTTACTTCATTTATCAAATATAATATATTAAAATCCCCCGTATTTTGAATTCTCTGTTAATGCTATTATCGTATTTCTTTTCAGTGTCTTGTGTCTGAAGTTGATAAGCGACTGAAAGGTAAAGCATTGGACTCCCTTCCAACACACGATTCATCCAAACCGTCTTCATCTCGTTATCCTTCAGAGATAAGTCGTATTTCTTCTTATGATGTTCTCCCTGATCGCTTTGGTATACCCGGACAAATGGTAGTTGTATCGAGTGATTCACGTTCTCAGACTGCTACCAAGTTTTCTGACCTACAGTTGAATTCTTCCGAAGTTTTCACATGTCCTAACAATGATCAATGTCGTCTTCGTGGTATTTTGGGTTTAATGTTACGTATTGCTGCTGGAGACAGTTCACTAGTTGGTTCGAATCTAATCCCTGTATCGTCTGATGATCTGTTAACTTCTGTACCTGGTGTGAATGAATTCTGGGACCATTTGTGCCAAGCATTTGAAAAACTTCAGGCGTTAAATGATCAAAATGCTGTTCTATTATTGCAACCTCTTCTAGAAGTGTTTTGTTTGGCTCATGTCCATTTGGTGAAAGACACTATTCTGCTTCGACAACGTTCCACAAACAGCCGATCTAGTCGTACTAATTCGTGTTCTTCAGGTACACTAAGCCTTATCGACATGGTGCCACTTTTACATATGTGTGTTGATTCCACATCTCATTCAGAACTTGATACTAATAGATCATCAACGACTGATCATCTCTCACACTTGTATTTCGATCTTGGTGGACCTCAGTCCCCTGATGTCTCTACTACAGGAGAGGATTTAATAGTTACAGCATGTACTTCAACTAATTCGGCAACCGCATCTCAAAGTCCATTTTCCAAAAATCCTATAATTGAATTTGCAGATAAATATCGTCGTGGATTAAGTCAAGTTCTTCGCCATCATGGAGCAAATATAGGTGAATCACCTTTCGCTGTATTTTTGGCTTATCCCCGAGTGCTTGATTTTGACGTCAAACGTCGCTTTTTCCGACAACAACTACAATCATTATCTAATCGTTCAACATCCAGTAATCGTTACGACGATGACCCAATAACTGTCTCAAGGGATCGAATATTCGAAGATAGTTATGCCAGACTACACAGAAGATCCGTGAGTGAATGGAAACATAAGTTTGTGATTCGCTTCCAAAGTGAGTTTTGTTGTTTTATTATGCTTGTCAGATGTATAACCTATGTACGATTTTATTGCATATTAATTCAGATATTCCAGAGCTCATTCTCTCTCTTTGGTCAATGCCAGACAATTAATAATTGGTTTTCTGTTAGTGATACTTCTCCATTTTGAAACAAAACATTTTAGGTCACTCTAATGCACAGCATTTCACCATTTTTTAACCTACAACTATAATTTGTAGCTTTCAAGAGTACGCCTAGATACTTTCATATGAGTCATCGTTACCCAATTTTCATTATGTCTACTTCAAAGACTTTATATTTCAACACCTTCATTCATCAAACTAGTAATTACATCTTTATTCTTTCATACCTGTTAGACGAAGAGGGTCAAGATGCTGGCGGTCCATTGAGAGAATGGTTTTTATTAATGAGTCGAGAAATTTTCAATCCAAACTATTGCCTTTTCCGCGTCTCTCCCGCAGATCGGGTTACATACACAATTAATCCAAGCTCTTACATTAATAGTAATCATTTGTCTTATTTCAAATTTGTCGGACGTTTTATCGCTAAAGCTATTAATGATAATAAACTTCTGGAATGCTATTTCACACGAGCGTTTTACAAACATATCTTAGGAGTACCTGTCAGGTAAGATTAAACATTCATTTATGCTTGTGTGAGTTATAATCTTGATCGCGATTTGTTTTGTTTGTGTTTTTTTGGTCCACGCCTATAATCTCTTTGATGAATATATTACCAAACTGTACATTCGCATAGACAAAGATAGAATATATTTCATTGTATACAGAAGTCAGGTCTCCTCCTATGAATAGCTGAATTTTCTATTGTTTTGGGTTCTTGTTTGATTTGAACAGATTCTATAAACAACCTTGAAATTAGTTTTATAGTTGATTATTTAATGAAAGTCAACTGCTTGTTTACATCAGACATTGATTAAGAGATAGTTACCTCGTTTTCCAATGTCTCCATTTCAATTTGCCTTTCTTAGTCAAGATGGTTGTATTGAATCGGTTAATCTGTTACATTTAGTGTCATTTTATGTCCGTACTCATCACATGTAGTGTTTTTTTTATGTGTGGCAATTTCTCATTAGTGCCTGTGCATTGTGTCGTATGTGTTAAGTTTACGGGCAATGCGACGTTGTCGATATCATCGTCATGAATAATTCCTCTATTTCGTAAAACCAAGTTCAAATATGTTCTCATTTAGAAAACAATAAAATTTGACTAGTCTCAGTGTTTTTTGTTCTATAAAAACATATGAACTGCCAAATGTGCGAGAGAAACAAAAAACAAAGAATAAGACAAGAAAATTTATCTCCTATTTAGTAATTATTTTTTTCATTTTATTATTTTCACTCATCTACAGGTGCTCTGATTTAGAAAGTGAAGATTATGAGTTTTTCAAAGGATTAGAATTTCTCTTAAGTCACGATGTATCTGATTTAGGTTATGAACTAACATTTAGTACCGAGGTATGTGTATATTTTAAATTGTATTCCTTTATTATATTTGTGAGTGCGTAATATAATATTAGACGACTTTCTGTGTTCGATCATCGTTGTCTCCGAAGGATTGCTGACATCCATTGGCAACACCATGTTAGTAATCAGAGGTTCGGTATCGTGTGTTCGGGCACAGAGATGATAATGCAATTGGTGTCACCATCTTGAAACACCGACTTCGGTGGCTTGGACATGTTCTACGAATTTTGGCCTAGAGAATTCCACGTCGTGCATTATTTGCCGACTCTGGGACTGGTTGGAAGAGGCGGAGAGGTGGTCAGTGCATGACATGGTGTCGTGGCATGAAAGAAAGCTGCAAAGGACTGACTTGTGTTGGTCCTTCACGACTCCTTGGTTGGGGTCCGAGAGATGGTGCTACACAGTGGCTAGAGACGTTATCAGATATGGCTCAGAATAGAAGCCAGTGGCGGTCCTGCTGTAGCCTTCTTTTACTTTCTTCATAAAAAGTGGTTGTTTCTTCCTTGACTGAAAAATTTGTTCTGATTGTACCTTTCCGTTCCCTCATTATGACTATGATTACTACTACACTCCCTTACACCAATCTCTTCATTATTGTTTTTTTTTTACGTTCCTCATTTTTTCTTCTTAAGTTCTCATTGTTTTGTGTGGCGTACATATATTTGGCAAACTCCTGTACCAATATATATGTGTTCAAATAAATAATAATAAATAATATAATATATATTAAAGCCGATATCATTGTAAGATGTACATTTATTTGTAGGGATATAATAATGTTGTTATCGAATTATAATGTGAATAGAATGTTCAGTTGTGTATATCTCTTACATCATAGGGATTTAGCATATCAAACAGTTGGTTTGTTTTTAATTTCTACTGAGTTCATTATCAAAATTGACTTATTTGTGCTGATTGTAATATGACTGATAAAATACTACTAATATGACTATTGTTTTGTCATGTCAAACATGATATAATACGTGACAAATACATGCATCGGTTCACACCAACATAGCGAAATACCAGAATAGTATAAGCGGTTATAATTTTCATGCTCATAGAATAAGCTCTGTAAAATAGTTTAAAAATGTATGATCTAAGGAAAGACAAAATGAATACACCTGAACTATTTTGAAGTGTTCTCAACCTTGTCACCCAAATTCTCTAATTATTGGCTACGATAATTGTGCGGACCCGGACCAGGTAGTTTGAATTTGCCTACATGGCCCAGTTTAATGTTATGCTTGGTTGTTTTTAATCTCCCCCCAATCTACTCTTAAACTAGCCATCATCACCCATCGAGTTACCAGATGGTCAGGGATACGTAATTTATATCCCGGTCACCTTACATTCAATGAAAATTCACTAACTCATCATGGCTAATGATGCTTCGAAGAAATATGTGAAATGGTTGAAACGCTCAACTCCTTCACTCCCTGTCATTATGAACAAGCTGAACAACCATTACACAGCATAGCGACACTTTCACAATGGCGATAAAAAGATAGTAGATCTTTCTAACGAGGTAGTTATGAAAGACAGTTAAATTGATAATAATCAAATAACACATTTTTAGGTAATAGGTTCACTAGAATGTTGTACACGCTATCCTGGATATGTTACATAGAAGCTTTTCCTTGATCCAATAATCGTCTGTGATGTAAACCTTCAAATGTCATGTGAAACATGTATCCGTAACATTCCAATTACTTTAGGTTATTCCTAGCTATTTACTATTTTGTTCATCAATTTCAGCTTTGTTTTTCCACGTGTTTTTTTCTTCTTTAGATAAATGAATTTGGCAAAACAGAAACTCGTGACCTGATTGAAAACGGTCGAAATGTAGCAGTTACTGAGAATAACAAAAAAGAATATGTTCGTTTAGTTTGTCAAGAACGTATGACTGGTGCTATACGTCAACAACTTGATGCTTTCTTAAGAGGTTTCTATGATATCATTCCTAAACGTATGATTAGTATATTCAATGAACAAGAACTAGAATTATTGATTAGTGGTTTGCCTAACATTGATTTAGTTGATTTGAAGGCTAATACAACTTATTCAAAATATCAACCGAATTCACCACAAATTGAATGGTTTTGGCAAGCATTAGAATCATTTGATCAAGAAGATTTAGCACGTTTTCTACAATTTGTTACTGGTACTAGTAAAGTACCGTTAGGTGGATTTATGAATTTAGAAGGAATGCATGGTCCTACTAAATTTCAAATTAGTCGTTCATCTGTTTCAAGTACTAATTATTTACCGTCTGCACATACTTGGTAAGTGTCTATTGGTCTCTAATTTGTGGTTTATGTCATAAAAATTGATGAATGTAGTCTTTTCAAAAGATATTTGTTCTGTTGGTTATTACCTAGACATGATAACAGCATATGGTTAGAGTTGATTCATTCCAACTTATTTTAGCCATTCACACAGTTATATCCTTTCAGTTTATAACTGACCTTTTCAACTTGACAAACAGTTATTAACAAGAAGATAAGTTTAACTTTACAGTTAACATGTGTTAATGTAACTCAACAATCATAACACATTTTTGAATGGGTCGTAATACCACTCAGTTCTTCATACTGAACTTGGAAATGGAAACAAAGTGATAGAGATTTAAACAGTAAATCACTGCTTCATATATTTATGAGTTACGAAGCACATTACGAAAATTGTTTATATAGTAATACTATTTTTTGAAAGTTTTTTTAGAACGTCGTTGTTGAATGCTGGTTGAAAGTTTCTAGACTCATATGATACAAAAGATTAATGTTCATACAATCACAACATGACTAAATATGTTTCATCTCTGCCTATCGAATTAACAAGATAGATAGCTGGTTGAATATATTTATTATTCAGTACTTTGTTTGAATTACATGGTGTAGCCTGAGAGAATTTATCTACTTCAGCGAAATGCACTTACACAGTCGCACGTTTACAATCTTCACTGTCTAAAAGTAAGACGATAAAACCATTCACCTGATATTTGAACATATCTGTCGAATACGTAAATCTCAATTAAGGAAACCGGGAAGCCTTGATTTCAAACTAATGATTCGCGTAAACTCAAAGTTTCTAAGTGATCGAATGACATACAATCCTACTCTTGTTACAAACTACCATTCCCCATTTGCTTGTGGATTGAATTTATAGATCGGAATCCCTAGAGGATAATCCCTCTAGTGAAAACAACTTATCTGTATTTCAGTGCCAAAGCAGAGTTATACTCAAGTAGTTAAGAATTTCTAATGAAGAACAAGTAATTATAATTTACTCAGCTCTATATTATGAATTGTTTTAGAAATTTATGTATTTCTCCTTAATATATATATGCGCTCATCTGTTGTATATTTTCTTAACCTTTTACAGTTTTAACACACTTGTATTGCCAGCATATGAAAGCTACGAGCAGCTACGATCAAGACTTTTGATGGCTATACGTGAATGTAGTGAAGGCTATGGAATGGCTTAATTCGCATATTATGATCAACACATAAGATATAATCTTATGATTGTATCGTGTGTTCAACATTTATGTCCTTCCTTTTTTGTTTATCTTCTCTTCTCTTTGTCTTTATCCTAAAAACAAATAATACCGGCAGCTGCCTGGCTTTTTACTGTGATGTGATATCATTATGATGTGGAATTATATGTGCATATGAATGCTGATATTGCAGAATAATGTAAGCAATCGTGTTGGTTTTTGTTCTGTCTATCCATCTATCTTTTCTTCTTTCCTCTATCTATCTTTGTTTCTGTACTGTGCTTAGATTTATTCACTAACTTTGTTGAAATTCTTATTTCTATTCAATTGAAATCAACTGGTTTTATATATACATATATGTATGAAATATGCTCATTTTTTCATTAAAAAAAAATACACATTTATTTACACAGGATACAGTTTAATTTTCCATATTTCTACCATAAACTAGTTTTGTCAGTATGTGCGTAATATGCACACTATTCCCCTCTACTCTTACCTTGAACCAACTCGTATCTGTATTGTTTATCATCTTGTAAAGCTGTTTTTTTTTACATTTCTCCTTACATGTAATAGTAATTAGACGGTTAGAATTTTAATGGAACGTAAATAATTTGGAGATGGGAGATTGATTGAAATATAAGACTATACATACATACACCATATATATCTAAAACATTACTCAGAACTCATTTCTATTCACATAGGGTCAGTCTATTACTATTTTTCATAACTATTTGTCCATTTTTCTCTTCTTTTGTTCATTATTCACATTCTCATCTATTATGGATGATTTTTTTCCAATAGTTTTATGTCGGTATTGTTCTCTATCTTGGTCTTGTGTTCTTTTCTTAAAATAAAAGAAAATTAACCAACTACATATTGTCAGTAATGTGTACCGAGTTTTTTATGCGTCTCTTCAAACTTTTTTTTTCTTAAATAACAGTTCTAGATATTTATTTGATAATCGTCGTTCAATATCTTCATGAATGAACTGAATGTGCGTACTATTCTGATTTTCCCGTAACTACTACAGATCATAAGGTAGATTACCGTAAACTACTAACTTAGGCAGCTAAGCGTCAGTTTTTAGTTACGATTGCCTTCAACATGTCGATGTGTCAATATTAAAAGTGAACTGTAAAAATAGGATTCTTGGTAAAAGCATAATATTGAAACCAACTAATCGGGACCAAGAACGCTATTTCCAGGCTTTTGCACAAAAACAGAATGCTATATACAATCAGCATTAGAAATACCTTAGTATACTCTAAACGTTTAGAATGGTTAAAAAAGCCACTTCTTACCATAACGGAGCAAACTGGTTATGATTAACACCTCATATGCGTTGCATGCAATGATCGATTCGACAATTTCTTTAAACCCTCACTTAATCCTGAAACAAACCCTAACCTTGTGGCATCAGATTTTATAGAACTAATCAAAAAGTGGCCTGATACCTAGCCCCTAGCTTAAGACTTTGTGGGACTAGAGAAACCCAACTGGGTCCCTATAACGGTTCGAGAAAACGCACAATCTACGTCAGTATACCATTTCTCCAATTTATAGACCGTAAGCTGTAGAATTTAATATGTAAGATGTCTTCACTTCGCAATACCGTTGTTCTGATTGGTGGTAGATACTAGTGAGAAGAGGATGACAGTGAAAGTCAAGACTCTCTCAATCTTGAAAGGGTTACTCACATGGACATACTTAAAAAACTTGTTTCACTGATAGACAAATGAATAAAGGCAGAAAATCAAGACGAGACCCGAAGTCTTTGGCTCTTGATTGCCATGTGGTCGACCATCTGTTTGGTTGTGTCTGTAACCAACAATCGTAGTAGCTTCGTTCGCGCCTCTTGTGCTGATCGTGTATTCCGCTGTGGTTTCATACGGACTTAGGTTTTTCGACTTCTTACCATCTCGGAATTATCTAGTTAAATGTAACGACAATGGCAGTCGGACCTAGTAAACCAACTGTTAACCTCATACCCTTATCTGTAGTTATTCATTCTCGCCTCTATTTAGTTGTACGTTTTTTATGACAGTTACTTTTACTGGCATAAACCAGTAAATACATGGTGAAAAACACCGTAAGACATTGTGACGTAACTATGTGGAAACCTGAAAAACCGTTAGACAAGTACATTGCTCTATGCTGATTACAAGAGGATTTCATCCTTGTAAACTAGAAAGATCAGTGACCTTCATTATTGTGGCATCAATTCAGTTTCCAAAGCTTAACTAATGTCTCAAATAGTCTAGCCGCTAAACCTGGACAGCAACCAAGATTACCTAGAAAATTTATTGATCCCTGTCGTCTGAAATTTATTTAAACCTCGATTTGGCTGACAGTTGTATGATCACCATGAATCTCCCATCCTAACTAAATGCAAACTGATTGGACAACACTTCATCCATTTACGAAGTAGTCATCTTCTGATCCGAAAACCAGACAAGTATTTATTATGTTGATGGAACAAATTCACCTCGTAACTCATTTTACTTCTTGTGCGACTGAGGCTACCATTGTTGTTGTAAACCCTCTATATAGAAAGCTTCGGAATACACCGACTTGCCTTAGTGAGATACATCTTTTTGTTTACCTACGGACATTTACTTAATGCATCGACGTTTATATTACCTCAATTTTAAAGTCACCAAAGATAAGGGTAAATTAGGTCACACGGTTGCTTATTATTTTTCAAGCCGGTAATCAGTTTTAACAATTATTCTAGGATATTTCAAATAAGCTTGACAAACTGGATTCTTCCTTTTAGATTTCCTGTGTTTACTCCTCTCTAGGTTGAAAGAGAGCTAGGGACGCCCAAACCAAAGCGTGGCACCAGTTTGAGGTCAGTGACAATCGGCTTACAGGTGCTTAGGGTCCGCGTCATTATAATGATCAATCGTGAGAAGTCATTTGCAATGACGCGAGTGTCTCCACTCTATTTTCTTCTAGTTCCTAAATTTTTCATAATCCTTTTTCTTTCACTAGTTGTTTCCTTGAGTCGGGCTTTCGATACCTAGTCTTTTCTATCACCACTAATACTATCGCTACCTCCACTCTGCGTGTCGCTAAAATTTTTTATCTCGAGTGTGAAAGCTGAACTGACGTATATGTGTACTATGTTGCATTTGACTGGTCGACTATTCTCTTAACAAAAGACTTCCATTTTAAATGGTCCTCGTGCCTGTTATGTAAGTCTAAATACCCTGAACAGAATGTCTACATTTGTAAAATGTATAATACTATTGAAAACCCAAGGTTAAACATAAGTGACTTAAGTCGAAAATTGTAATAATGTTTAGTCTATTTCGAGTCACATATCGTCTGGAACATGAGTTCTGTGTTAATGCATATCGCAAGTATGCACAAAATTATCTTTACGAGCAGCTACCTCATATGCAATTCGTTTTGCATGGAGCATGTCTGAATTCTGAATAGAAAAATAAAGACTCTAACCCACTGTCAGTAACAACGTGGAACTTCGTACGTACGTATACCAGTTCGAGTTACCACACCACTGTAAAGCCATTGTGAACAAGTATGAGAAAGGTTGAGCAGTTGGAAATTATCACAACCTGGAGAACGACATAACTTTACTTATTAACCAGAACAAGAGGGTTTAGGCGTCTATCTTTGTCCAAGTTCGGCTTACTTTACTGGTGTAGACAGTGAAAAAATGGTGTCTATGACAGAATGTGATACGCACCACGACTATGATTAATCCCAAGACTGTTCTTTAAAACATCCATAGTGGTTCGACGTATATTAGTTGACTATAAAGGTTAGAAAGATATCAATGTTGATGAGATACTTTTACATAATGTAATCAAACAATAGAATACTAGTAATAATGTAATGTTTGAGTGTGACTGTACTCAAAAAAGCAGAGGAATCCATATAGCTTTACAATACTGTTATTCATCTGTCCATATCATAGATTTCTGAAACCAATTTATGAGTCATTTTAGTAGAGTCTATCGCTGTCTAGATTTTTTCTTTTTACCAGATTGTGATGCGTTACTGAAACCTGAAAAACTCTTGCCAATTTGGGAGAACTGATTTCCTGAAAACCCATTGGACATGAAATTAGGAGAAGGTTGTTTGTAGTGTCCTGAAATAAGCTGGTTGACTGGAGGTAGATTGGGAGGAACTCCTAGGAAATTTAGAATGCAAAATCATTTGGATACTTGAGAAGTAAACTAAAGTAGTATTAATAATATTTAACTGCTCAACATTTACTTTGAGAAACTTGCAAAATGAACAGAACCTAGTGCTAATTATTAATCGCTGTAGCGTTCAAAGTGAAGTAGAGAAACTTTTATTCATGCTATCTTCACAGTAATTATATTAACCTTGATACAAGGTTAGTTAACAATGGAAAGGGACTTGGATACTAAGTGTACGTTCGCATACATTAATACTTCGTAAATAAATCACGAAAAAGATTATGGATAAATCACAATGTAAACTAGACCTCTAAGCACATTATTATTGACTGAGATGAGTGACAAAATTTTTGCACACTAAATCTGTTTATTCAATGTGTTGTATAATGCGATAGTAGAGTTAGTGAGAAAAGCTAAATAACAGATCATATTGAATAGAAAGAGCCCACAAGTTCCAAAAACATAATACCTGAATATCTGGATCAAGTAATAAATAGTAAGGGATTTGGAATAATTATGGAACCGATGACGGTGGAAGTACTAAACAATGAGAATGATTAGAGAGGAAATAATAGGAAGAGCATTGAACCCAAATATTTGTTCAAGACGTAAAGAGCTTAAAACTTATTAGGAAGCTAATTACGGCAACTTAAGCACCGTTACTGACCAACAGACTGTTGAAAACCAAGGTGAAAAATAACAATACGTTCAATAGTCGTGTTTTAACCGAAAGAACGTATCAGCTGATGTCTAATTATTTAACATAAAGGCGATCCCAAGGGAATTTCTCATAGGCATAGAACGATTTCT